GTGAACCGCTGAAAGTATTGTGCCCAACGGACGTGTTTAGGGGCTAACCGTCGGGGCGACTGTAATATAGCCAGGTTTTTATGGTCCGTCCATATTTCGATCTCATGTTTAGCCCCTTCCAGAAAGTGCCGCCATGTTGCCAAAGCCCACTTAATAGCAAAGGCCTCCTTTTCCCATATAGCCCATCTTCTCTCAGTTTCTGATAACTTGCGCGATGTATAAGCGCAGGGCTGTAGCTCACCCTTAAGATTTCGTTGTAACAATACAGCCCCCACCGCCACATCACTTGCATCTGCCTGGACAATATACTGTTTCTCGGGATCGGGATGTAGTAAAATGGGCTCTTTGGCAAACAACGCCTTTAAATGTTCAAATGCAGCTTGACTTTCCTTAGACCACGCTAATGGTTGACCAGGCCGTACCCTTGTCGGGGAGTTCCGTGTTTTCAACAACTCTGTGAGTGGCAAAGCCACGCGGGCAAAATGAGGAACAAACTGCCTGTAGAAATTCGCGAATCCTAAAAAGCTCTGCAACTGGCGTCTCGTCCGAGGCGCCTGCCACCCAAGTACTGCTTTTACCTTTCCTGGATCCATTTCTATTCCCGCAGCAGATATCTTATACCCCAAATATTCGATACAGGTTTTATGGAACTCGCATTTCGAGAGCTTCACGAACAGCTGAGCCTGGAGGAGTTTGCGTAACACCTCTCTAACCAATTGTATATGTTCCGCCATGGTTTTAGAATAAATCAAAATATCGTCTAAATAGACTAATACCCCTCTATATAAATGTTGATGCAACACCGCATTAATGGTCTGCATAAATACCGCCGGCGCTCCTTTGAGCCCAAACGGCATGACGGTAAACTGGAAACTCCCTAAAGGGCAGTTAAATGCGGTCTTCCACTCATCCCCTGGTTTTATTCGAATGCGATAATATGCCTCCCTTAAATCCAGCTTAGTAAACACCCTCCCTTGGGATAAATGAGACAGCATGTCCTTCAGCAGGGGTAATGGATACATGTTTTCTGTGCTTACCGCATTCAACCCCCTAAAATCCACGCAAAGCCGTAATCCTCCGTCCTTTTTCCCTTGAAATAACACCGGAGCCGCAATCCGTGATCGGGCCGGCTGTATAAACCCCCGCTCTAAATTTTTATCGATATATTTTCGTAGCTCCTCTAACTCCTTAGGGGACATGGGGTACATCCGAGGCTTTGGCATTTTTGCCCCGGGTATGATATCTATAGCGCAGTCGGTAGGACGATGGGGCGGCAACACATCACACTCTCGCTCGCTAAACACGTCCTGTAAATCCTCATATTCCACAGGAAATAACCGGGTACCTCCACCTGTGTCCACCGCTACTCTGATTCTTTCCTCCAGCCGTGGACTACCTTGTGGGGATTGTACCTGCGGTTCCTCACCCTCACTGCCTGGGGGTCGAGGGCCTACTGCTAACCTTATACGGCGACATCCCCCTGCCCACCAGATAACTGGTTGCCATCTGTCAAGCCATGCCAACCCCAGGATCACGTCCTCGGTCATTGAGGGGATGACTATAAAACGCAGCAATTCCCAGTGTTCCTGCATCTCTAAGCGCACCAGTTCCGTTACATAGGATGCCGGTGCCCCACCTAGTAAGGACCCATCCACTTGTTCAAAATTGATGGGTCGAGATAATTTAACCAATCGAAGTCCCAACGCATCCGCCACTTTTCTATTGATCAAACACCGGGTACACCCTGAATCTATTAATGCTTGACATTCTATGCGTTGTTTGGACTTACAATCCCCTAGGCGGATTGGCACGGTGAATGGAACCACCGGATTACTTACCATGGGATCTTGTTCCGGATCCTCCTGGTCACACCTCTCGGGAACTACCTCCGGGGTGGCAACCGCCACTACAGGTATAGCCTTATAAGGGGTGCTGCCTTCATCCTGCAAAGCCCTCAATTGATCTTTTCCTCGGAACGGGGTAACCTCCTGCCTTCTCATTCCTAAAGCTGTCTGTCCCGGAGTTGAACCTCGTCCAGGTGTAGTTGGGCACTGGGCCGCCCGATGACCCGGTTTATTGCACCTAAAACAACGAAACGTCCCTCTTGGTGCCCCGGGCGGAACTGGTTGAACTGGAACTCCCGACAGTCCTGGTTTGTTGGTTGTTTGCTGAGGCGGCGCCGGAGGAGAGACGGCTGTTACCGGTCTGATTTCCTGTAACCCTGCATAGAGTTCGGTCACTGTCCTGTACCAATCAGACAACCGAGATGGCACACCTCTCATCAGGCAAGCCTGTTGGAGTTCCACATCGAGTCCATGCCTGAAATGATGTACCAACAGCTTCTCAGGCCAAGATCGTAGTCGGCCTGCTACCCTCTGGAAGTCCTTAATAAACTCTCTCACCGGCCTACCTGCCTGCCTCAGTGTCACTATTTCCGCCTCCGCTCTCTGCGTCCTGGTGGAATCCTCGAATCGCAATCTCAGAGCCTCCAGGAAGGCACCTATGTCGGCCAATTCACTGGCGTGCTCTCCGAAGAGGTCGGCCGCCCATGCAGCCGCCTCACCTTGCAAGCTAGCGGTCACCGCTACCACCATAGCCCATTGGGAGGAGTAATATCCTGCGAAACGGTCCAAATGATTCAGCACATGCCCTAAAAACATGGCCAATTTGTCCGGATCCCCATCAAAAAGAATCCCGATTGCTGGAGGGGTCCATGGTATACCCGTGGGCCAGGCTACAGCCTGCTGGCCACCATGCTGAGGGCCCATGCCAGTAGAATGCCGGCCAAGGTCCCCGGGTCCCAAGGGTAGGGACACAGGGGTGGTAGCTATGGGTCCCATTCGCGCACCTCCATGTCCTCCTTGTTGCAACGGCACCGTTGACCCCCGCAACTGTGGGCTACCCAGACGGAATCCGGATGACTCCTCAGGGCGATGAGCGGCCACCCCCTGTCTGGGAAGGAACCCTGGCTCCCCAAACCTAGCCTTTAATACATCGAGGGTATACTGCCCTGGAGTGGTAGAGTAACTCCAGTCAGCTCCATCGTCGCCGACCACTCTCCTCTCCCTCCAGCCCATCGCAGAGCCCCCGTTATCCTGTATGGACCGACGCTCGGTGTCTTTTCGTTGGGACGTGGAACTCAGTCCCCAGCCAGCCGCCTCTGGTAATACCGGCCTCTGCTTAACCCCAGGGTCCACATCCCCCAGCAGCGAAACACTTTTCTCCTTCGGACGAACAACTGGTCCTTCCGTGGCTGCCCCTGGATCCACTGACGTGCCAGGGTCCTCCGACTGCTCAAGGACTTCCTCCAACACCCCAATCTCCTGGACACCTTCGGCCATGTTGCCTGTAGTCCGCTCCACGGTAAAGCCAATAAAGGAGCCTAAGATGAGTGCTGACTTACTGTTAGCCCCGTCTTTGACACACGTAACCAAAAAAATGAGGCACTTCGTCAGGAACGGAGAACATCCAGTTTATTTCACAAACGTAAACGGAATAAAGTCAGCACTGACTAGCTGTTAACCCTAAGTGTTTTTATACATAAGCTGGAACCCTTCCTAGCCCACACCCCTGTCACCGCCCATACACCGCCACCCACCTACGGACCGCCCCACACCTCCAAACTTGCTGCATCATGATGACTGAACGCTTCCCGACGACCCGGCCGCTTCCCGTTGCTTCGAGCTCTTCCCGAAGCTTCTGCCGTCTTCTTTCGACTCTTTGAAGATGTCCCGTGGCCACTATTGAGTACGCATGCGTTGGATTGCCTGTTCTGTCCTTCACGCATGCGCGGCTCTAGAAATCATGGTTGCATGCCGGGCCGGCTTCTGCGCATGCGTGGCCGCCGGAACGATGTCGGGCCGACCGGACGTCACACAGAGTGGCGAGTGCCTTGCTGCCGCAGGTAGGTTCAGCAGTTGGTTGCAGCACGGCCCGACACCCTGCCTAGGGGCAGATCCAGCGAACAAAAGGCGGGGGGGGGGGGGCGAGGAGCGCCAAAGAGATCTCTTTCCTCTTGGCTCATCCCAGAGGGAGAAGCCCCGCTTTCCTCACCCTCTAGGGCGCCCCCCCCCCATGCAGGGCTTGGCCCACCACTCCATGCCCCTGGCCCGCCAAAGGAAGGCTGGGAACGCTGCTCTCCCTCGGGGCATCCAGACCCCCGGCGGCCTTAGTGTCCCCTGGGGGGCTGGCCTTCCCCAGCTGCCTGAAATTCCCATCCTGGGAACGGAAATTCGGATACCTGAACCAGAGACCCATGAAATTGGGGGTGGGAAAGGCAGGACCCCTGGAGGAGGGGCTGGTGGAGGCAGCTGCTGTCAGGTTCAGCAGCAGGACACCCCCATCCCCCCCCCCGCCTTCCGCAGCACTGAGAGCCTGCAAGGCAGGACTGTTCCCTGGCAGGCCAGGTGGGGCGCAAACGGTTCCCTGGGAGGCAGCCAGCAGCGGTGCGTGGCTGCAGCTCCGGAGGGGATGAGCAGGGCGCAAGTGTTCCTGGCCCAGTGCCGGGCAGAAGGATCCCCAGGAGGAGGAGCAGCCTAGCTGGCAGGAAGGTGGGCAGAGGCTAGTTCTGCCTGGGAAGAGCAGAGCGGCCGACTCACAGCAAGGAAGACTCGGAGACTCTCAGTCAACCGGACACAGGGGAGAAAATGCAGCCAGGCCACAAAGGGGAAAGGGGGTGGGGGCAGGGGGGAGAGAGGACACCACCCAGGCTGATGGGGGGGGGACAGCAGCCATGCAGGAAGGAGGAAGCCACAGCAGAGTCCTAAAGGAGAGGCAAGGCTGAGAGCAGAGCCCGTTCCAAGGGGGTCTGGGAAGGGAATCGTGGGCCCTGTCACCAGAGGAGGAAGGGTCAAGCTGTAACGGAAGGGGGTCCACAACGGGCAGCCCATTCCTGACCGAGCCTGGGGCCAGCCGGCCGCAGCACTTGCTGGGAGGACCAGCAACCTCAGCCACAGGGCCCCCCTGCAGGGCTCGGCGGAAGGAAAGCCAGGCGCGACGGGTGGTTTTTCATAGGTTTATTGTGAACCATACAAAAATAAGGCAACCAGCGTCAGTCCCTGAGCAGGCCGAGGGGAGGGGCCGGGTGGGCAGGCGAAGGAGCCCCTCAACAAAGGCCCAAGAAAAGTCCTCTCAGAGACGCATGGGAGGAAGAAGCCCCCAGAACACAAGGATTGTGGGGCAGCGGGAGGGAAGCCCTCCCCCAAACACAGCACCCAAGACAGGCATTGCTTGATGGGATGTGTGTGTGTGTGTGTGTGTGTGTGAAATCGCTCCTTCTCCCCTTTTGTGGTGTCCCCAGATCCTGCTCAGACGGTGGAGGGGAGGTCGACCCCACAAATCGGGTGTAGAGCTGAACCTCCGTCTCCCCTACAGCATCTCCAGGGACTGCCAGCTCCTCCTTCCGGGAAGGGGCCAATTCAGGAACAGCCCCGAAAGCAGACCGGGCCGGGCGGGCTTCAGAGAAAGAAGGGGCAGCCATGCCCCCCCCCGTTCCCTCTGGGGCTCCAAGAGCCTTCCTCTCTGCAGCAGCTGGCTCGCAAGCATGGCGGGCCCTCCCGCCGGGCCAAGACCCTCCCTGGCGAGCCTCCGTGTCCGCCCTCAGCCCAGCCCGGCCCTCACGCCCAGGAGAAGCAGTGGCGGGGGGCTGCCTTGGAGGGGGCCGCGGTGGCGTGTGCCGGGTGCTTCAGCTGCAGAAGGAGCTTGCGTCCTTCCACTTCTGTCCCCTGGGAGAAAGACGGGAGAAAGCCACGGTGATGGAAGTGCGCTGGCAGGGACCCGATCCTGACCTCCACCTCAGGGCCAGCGAAGGGAGGAAGGAGACGCACCTGCAGGGCTGCGTAGGCGGCTTCGGCAGCCTCTTTACGGCTATAGTTGACGAAGGCGCAGGACTTGTGAGGGAGGCACCGGATGGAGTGGATGGGTCCAAACCTGCCCCGAAGAAAGCTGGTGTCACAGCACCTGAGTCTGCGCTGGAGGAGCCCCTGGCTTCCACGGGGTGCCTCCTGGGCTTCAGAAGGGGAGGGAGGGGGGAGCCACAAACACCCCCCCCCCCGCAGAGCAGGCAAACTTACGGCTGAAAATAGCGAAGCAGAACTTGCTGGGTGATCTTGGGTGCCAGGTTTCCCACCCAGACGGCGAACCACTCCCTGCAAGGGAGCACGTGGGTCACTCCCAGGAACAGGAGACCCCTGCAAGCCTCTACTGACCACTGGGCTGCTTACTCTCACCCAATTCCAAAGGGACCCCTGCCTCAAGGGTCTGGGGATCCACCTGACCAGCCAACCTGCTCCTGGGAGGCGGCCATCATGAGGGCAGAGCGGAGCCAATACCCCCAAGGAGAAGCAGGGTTGGGATGGGTTCCTTCCGCCTCCCCCAACCCCCGCCTTTGGCGCTTTGGGAGGGGCCTTGATCCTCGGCTGGCAGCTCTGGAAGGGGTGTGCTTGTCAGACTCCAAATTGGTGGACCAGCGGCTGCCCTCCTGGGCTCTGGACTCTGGTGAGCCACTGCTTGACCACATCCTGTCTTGACTACTGCAACACTCAGCTCTGGAGCTGGGCCCGGGAGGAGGTGCAGGTGCCGAAGGATCCAGCCTGGCCTGCCCCACGGTCTGCCCTGGGGCCTTCCTGAGCCTTGGTGCTGCAGCTCAGGGCCTGCCAACCCAACCCAGGCCTGCCTCTGTGCTGTGAATCTGCCCGAGCACCGAGGCCAGCCCCCAGCTGCTGAGTTTAGGGAAGGGAGGGGGGTAGACCCAGCTGGGCACTTGAGTGGGGGTCCTCAAGCAGCAGAAATGGCCCTAAGGAGAGACGCGCCTGGGGCTGCCCAGTGAAGGGTCTACGCAGAGAGCCGGAGGAACCGAGAGGTTCTGCCTGGGGGTAGATCAGCCCTTGACGTTCTTGGATCCTGGCTGAATGTTTGGCTATAATTTTGTTGTCCTAGATTCACTTTTTAAGAGTCAGTCTGTGTCTCCCACAAGCGGAGCCTGGCCCGGCTGGAGCTGCCTCTGCTCAGGTGCAGGAAGACACCCGTATGTCAGAACACGGAAGACACTTCCTCCCCCTCCTCACCTGACTGGGGCCTTTGCAGCTGGAGGGGCCAGCCGGATGGTGGCGATGGCCTGGGCACTGCTGTCTGGGCACCGCTGCCCTGCTGGCTGCTTTCCTTGACCATCAGGGAGAAAAAGAGTGACAGCTGAGGGGCAGCGACAGCTTGGTCTCTGCACACCCGCCAGGCAGCCATTGTCCACCCTGTGCCCGTTGTCGGCAAGGCTTAGCACTGACCGGGGGCTGACCCGAGCCCCCCACTGCTTACCAGACAGAAACAGCTGCGCTTCCGCAGGCAGGACGTCCCGGTCACGGTGGGGGCAGCCCAGCCGGCTCTCCTGCGAAAGAAAGGGGACCGGGTCAGTCTCGGCCAGCAGTGCAGAAGCCCCGGCCGGATCCTTCAAGCCAGAGAGGCTCCAGTGGGGTTGGGGGGGGGGTTATGCCTCTGTATCACGGAGGCGGCAGCTCTTCTTGGATGCCATCACAGTGGGATGCCACAGTCTGCATGCTAGGTGGAGCTGGGCACCCGGTTGATACAGCATTGTAAGCCCAGCATGGCTCGTTTACTTTGGGCAGAGACCCAGCAATTCTGGCTTGAAGGCAGCGCGAAGTGGCTTATTCATCAAGCCAAGGAAACGATCCCACTGACCGCCTCGAGGGGACTCTGGGGGAGGCTCCGGGCGGCCCAGGCCGGGAAGGCAGGAGAGAAGGCCGGGGGTCAGAGCCACCAGCAGGCCAGTCAGCCGAGGAGGGACCAGAAGCCCCCCCCTGAGGATATGGGGGTGGGCGGCTCCCGCTAAGGGAACTACTGCAGAAACAGCTTGCTGAGGGAGGACGGCTCGCCCCTAGAGGCCTCCGGTCCCCAAAAGTTCCTCCTGGCCGGCTGGCCGTCTCCTTCCACGGAGGCCAAGCAAACAAGCTAAAGGTCCACTTGCCCTGGGCAAACCACCCAGGCCAGCCTGCAGCAGAATGACCTGGCTTGACCCCAGAGCGAGCTCTGAAAGGAAGGCCTCCCCCTTGCTCACCAGTAAATGCTGGATCCGGCACTTCTGAAGCTGGAGGGCTGCATCGCCACGGAAGCCGTCGAACTGGAGGAGTTGCTGGAACATCCTTGCCGCGTCCGCATATCGCTGGGGATTGGGGAACAGGCGGGAGAGCCACCCTGTGCAGGGCGCCCGGTGCCAGAGTCCCCCAGAGCCCCCCTCCCGCCCGCTCTGCCCCTCTGGCCTGGAGTACCTTGAGGCCCAAGAGAGCCTTGCCCTGGCGAAAGAGGCCCCTGGGCCAGCCCGGCTGCAGGCTGAGTGCGTGCTGCGCATCCCGCAGGGCCTCCGTGTGGCTCTGCAGCTTCTCGTAGCAGAAGGAGCGGTTCCCAAAGAACCTGGGGGGAGAGGGGGGAGGAACAGAGGTCAGGCAGCGCTCTTCCTCCCAGGAAGCCCCCTCTGTGGCCACTTACCGCGGCCGGCAGCAGAATCTGCCTCACAGCCCGGCATGGAGCTCTCCGAAGCACATCCCAGGCTGAACCAGCCTCTCCCCGAGGCACCCCTGGACACCTGGGCCTCAAGTTGGAGGCAGAAAGAAAGCAGAAATGACGGTGTCCCTCTCCCTTCCAGATCAGTTCAGGGCCACCTTCCAAACGCCTAGCATTGTCCCCAAAGCCTCCGAGGCCAGGGACTGGGAAGGCCCAGTGGGGGCCCAGTGTCCGCCCTCCCCCAGGAACCCAGGTGCCAGGCTCGGGAGACCACCCGGCTGCACAATGAGGCTCGCTGGGCACCTGACGCCCACCGCTCTCCCTGGCGCCTGCCTCCAGCACCGGCTTCTTGTAAAAGGAAGCAACGAAGGGCAGCGCCAGGGCACCGATTCCTTTGGAGGAGGAAGGAAGGAGGGCAAAATAGCAGCAAGCAGAGAAGCCTCTCGGGCAGAGCACGCCCACCCATGGCCCTTTGCCCCCCTTCTTCCAGGGGGCTCAGGAGCGCAGGGCCAAAGCCAGCCTTCCTGGGGATTAGGCCCAGCTACTCTGCCCCCACAGCTGCCCTCTGTGCTGACGGCTTCAGAAAACAGAGCGGTTTCCCCAGGTGGCCACTGGCGCTGTGCAGCCACTTCCAATCTCCGTGCCGTCGTTTCTCCTGGACTGCCACCACCTGCCCGCCCCTCCGAGTTTCTGCCGTGCCTGGCCTGTCTCATCCGTGAGAGATCCAGCCACCCTCTTTGTTGGTTGCCTTCAACTTTTGTGACTCTTTCCTGTTGCTCTCTGGAGGGCAGCTGTGTGGCGTTAAGCGTCTCTGCCGCTTCAGAATCCAGCTTGCCCTTCTGGCTGTTCTGTGGCCTGCAAAATCTTGAGCTTCATCTCAGCAAAACGTGAGATGAATGTCCTTCATCCCTTAGCACTTCCCTTTCTTCAGCCTGGAATATACATTGATCTTTTCCAATCCCTTGACCGCTGCATAATTGCTCACCAGCCACCACAGCATTTAACCAGATTATGCTGCAAGATTTGAAACAGTTTGGCCGATAATTCATCAACTCCTACAGCTCAGTGGTCAGGAATATTCTCTAGGCCCATTTAGCTCTCCTTTCCAGGATGCCTGGGCAACTGGGGCTACCTGCTCAAGCACGTGAAGCTTCTCCAGCCAATGATAGGCAGGCAGTACCATGTGCCTCTCCAGAGCAGCTGGGCACCCTGCTGGGGTCCATCCAGCCACCCCGAGAGCCCCAGTGCTGGCCCTGCCCGCCCTCCGCTTTTCTAAGCCGACTGCTCCTCTTCCAGCGCAAGCCGTGCACTCGGCTTGCTGGAGGGGGTTCCCATATCCTTCTCCAGCAGATGGAAGAAAGCGAGGGGAAGGGGAAGGCAAAAGCCCGTCCCTTTATTCTCTCTTTATGACTGCCTTGAAAAGAGAACAAAGGTGGGGCTGGCGAGCAGGCGGAAGAGAAACAGTACGCTGGATCCCTCCCTCTCACGTTCACGTCTTGCGCATCATCGCCCAGAGCAATCAGCAAAACTTCCCATCTTGAAAGGTTGTTTGCTCAAGCAGGGAGACGGGAGAGGCTTTCTGGCCACTACAGACCTAGGATGCAGGCCTCCTTCCAGGTGGGCTGTCCACACGAGACTCCCCCTCCCCCCCTCGAGAACTGCTTTGCCAGAGGGTGAAAAAGGAGAGGGAAGACACGATGCTGCTCCTCTCTGTATCACAGCGCCTGTGGCTAAAGCCTTTCCCAAGAAACAGGTTGTGCTGACTGTATCCTTCATTTAACCAGCTCTTTGCACTCTCCCTTATCTGCCTTTCTGGACGTGGTTTCTCAAGACACCAAATGCAGAGTCACCTGGCCGTGAGGCACCTCATTCCCTCCCTGGCTAGACCACACAAATGTCTTATTACTATACAGAAATGCTTACAGCTCCTTTCAGTGTTTCAGCGGGGGGGGGGGGGAATGGAAAGAGGGAAAAATGACCTTCAGGAATTCCAGGACTTTGGCCAAGCCTTCCCCAGTGACTCTCCTTCCCAAGACCAGCTGATTCCGCTCCCGCTGGGTCCTCCCTTCTCCAGGGAGCCTCTCCTCAGCCCTCCCTGGACCCACACAGCACAAACACAACATCAACCTCCTCCAACAACTCCCTCCATTTCCTAAGAGACCTGCCATTTCATAAATCTCCAGCAAAATGTGCGCAGCTGAATCAGGCACATAACAACGTGCCTTCATCAGGCAAAAAGCTTCCTACTTTCCATAGTTTGCCAAACAACCAAATCTCCAACCTCAAAACGAATGGGCCACGCCAGGCAATCCCGATCCCTGCCCCCCCCCCCGCTTTTTCCCAAGCTGAGTCCCCAGACAATCTCCTCCAATCGGGTCATGCGGTTCAAGGGAGATCAGGCAGGTCCTTGGGCCCCCCTCTGTGTAGTGGCTCTCCTCTGGCTCCCGACCCTGGGACACCGAGGGGGGGTCGGGGCGGAGAGCAGCCTTCCAGCACCCCCTCCAGGATGCCATTCTCCCTTCCAACCTTTTCGGAGGTGCCTGGAAGCAGGAAGCCGAGCTGACGCCATCCTCCCTGCCGCTGCGGTCCAAGAACTGGGCCCCCAAGGGATTAAGGGCTCTGCGCAGGGCCCAAAGCAAGTGGGCAGTTTTAACTGAATTGTGTTAATGAGGACACGTATTTTTAAGAAGTAGCACAGCTGGTTTTTTTAGAAGGCGACTGGATTTCTGTCAGGAAGACTTCGCTGCCACCACCACCCTCTCACTACTCCAACCTCACTTGTACACAGGAGTCAAGTACTTGTGACGGTCTGTGGAAGGCAGGAGGAAGGCCAAGGCAACAGTCTAGAGACAGATGGGACTTATTTGATCCATGAAGTGTTTTACACACACGTCTCCCTCGGCCTGTGCTAGACACCCACAGAAGCCAAAGCTTCTCCTTGCCCCGAGGACCACTTCTCAAGACCCAAATTCAGCCTGAACCACTGCCTGCACCGGGTGACAAGAGGTAGAAAATGCTTGAATTCAAGTCCAGACACCCCGATTCCGTCCGGGGGCAAGGAGGATAAGGCTTCTGGGGTTCAAACAGGGGTGGAGGTAAGGCGGGCAGGCCAGACCCTCCAACAATGCAGTCTCACCTGTACTCCTGGGGGTTCAGCTTAATAGCTTCGGTAAAGAGGAGAACGGCCTCGTGATAGCGCTCCTGCTTTGCAGTTTCATTTCCACAATCTGGAGCAGGAGAAAAGGATCAATTAAAAGAAGGAAAATGTTACCACAGATGTAAAACTCTCCTTCTGAACGTCTAGCTGGAAGCTGGTTAGTCCCCCAAATGTCCTTGTACAATCCCCAGGGCCCTTGGGACGCTCTGCCCACAATCCTTAAGACAGGAAATGCAGGATAACCATGTCACAGTGGACACTTGATGGGAAATCTTTTAAAAAACAGGCCTCCGCATAAAACCAACCTCCCATCCAGACTGTTCCACTTGGGATAATAACCCCGCCCAGGACTGACCTCCCACCCATTATTATACGCATCCCTCCAACTTACCAAAATTTCCTGCCCAGCCCTCACCCAACCTAGACCGATGCTCTGCACTCTGCAAGCCCTCTGGAAGGACTCTGGGGAGGGGCCTGTAACCCTGTGGGGTGGGGGGGGGTCTGCACCCTTCCGACAAAGGCACAGTCCTCCTGCTGGGAGGGGCCGTGAAGGCCCCAAATCAAACCAAGTCCAGGAATCTGAAATCCGACCAAGTGGTTCTCCGCTCCCCTTGAAGTGGGGCCATTATCGCCCCCAGCCATCTGGTCTCAATCTCTTGGCAGAACTCGCCCTCACTGGCTTCCTCTAAATGGGTTCCAATTTCTGTGACTCTTCCTTACAGCTGGTGCCAAGAAGCGGCCATGACAGTCGAGCCGAAGTCTGACCAAGGCAGAATCACTTGAGACAAGAGCTTTCTGGGGTTGTGGGAACTATACTTCTGCTGCTGTGGCCTAAAACTCCCTTGTCTTCTTGGCGGCTATATTCCATGGCCGGCTCATATTCCGTCTGCCATCCGATACAGTTTCACTACTATCATTATCAAGCCGGGCTCTCTATTCTATACGCCTGTTTTTGTTCCTTCAGTGGAAAGTTGGTTTAAATTTCGTTTAAAAAAAAAACTGAGCTCATTTCCCTATCCTATCTAAAGAATTTTAAACTTCGTCCTCTCTTCTAGAGAATTCTCTCCCACCTCGGTCTTATGTCATCTGAAACCACGATAAGCATCCCCTGCTGCTTCATCCTATTTAGTAAGGGACCCAGAGTCAGAGTTTGCGGCACCCCAATTTCTCCAACATGATGAGGAACTGCCAAATCAAGGAAGCGGCCTGCTCGGGCAGGCATGGAAAGGCCGGAGAACCTCAGGTTCGGTGGGAAGAAAGCGCTTCCAGCCGCTCACCTGCCAGCACCATGCTCTGCTCCACAGAGGTCAACTGGAGCTCAGGCTTCTGAAGATGGAAGAAGAAGAAGGAGGAGGAGGAGGAGACACCTGGTTTTCCCATCCAGCCTGCCCCATGGCTAACGCGAGGGGCTGTAAGCTTCCCCGACTACTATTTTTATGTTATTTTTGTGGGCTTAGGTCGTTTTATTGGTTTTGTTCTGTTTCGTGAGAGCAGAGTCATGTATATGAGATGGCTGGCCCACAGATTTATGAAAGATAGACAGAGCAGCCCTTGAAATCAGACATTTCCCCAATTCTGCTGAACAGAACTGGGAAAATAACCACAAACCCAATTCCCAATGAGTCAAATTCACGGCTGCAGATTTCATTCCCAGACTTTCCGCAGGAGGCGCCAAGAAAAGGAAGACTGAGCGTTTTCACGCTGGGCGGGTAGCCGAGTAGTCCGGACACATCCAGAGGCCATCAGATTAGGAAGAATGGTTTCCAGGAGACAGGGATAATCCACCAAATGCCCACTTTTGAAATTTAATTTTTATCTCGCCTTTATTACTTTACTCATGGCAGCCAACAGACCCACTCCTCTTCCTCCTCCTGTTTCCCCCACAACCACCACCCTGTGAGGTGGGTTGAGCTGAGAAAGCAGGATTGGCCCAACGTTCCCAGGCAACTTTCCTGGCTAAGATGGGACCAGAGCTTAGCGTCTCCCGGTTTCTAGCTGACGCTTTGACAAATGCCACTTCTGTCTCCTCTGGGAATCAAGGAATAAACGAGGAGCTTATGAACCAGTCCTGGGGGAATAGGAGGGGAGCCCCCAGTCCTTTAGCCCCCGGATAAACTCTGCCCACCAGTTGCAGACCTGAGTGGGGAGCGAGAGCTGGCCTTAAGGCAACATGGATCTAAAGACTGAAAAGTCTGCGTATTTGTCAGGCACAGCCAGCCTTTCCCCGATACGGTCACGGGCTTCCTTTCAAATCATGCAAGCTAATAAAAGGGAGAAACATAGACTGAAACCACCGACTGGCTTTGCAATGGCAGCACAAAGGGTGACACCCACAACACAAGGAAGGTCATGCGAGGGTCTTACAACACTGAAGGACGCAGAGAAAAGAGCAGGCAAAAGAACAATCGCTCTTAGGAAAAATGACTTTTTAGATTCTTAGCCTTGGTCAAAAGGTGACTGATCAATTTACACCTGGCCTGCGGAAGTTAGAAGCCTTTCCCCTCTTTGCCCTGTCCTACAGCCCAGAGCGTATGACCAAACTAGTGAGCTAATGGCAAAATCTTACAGCAACTATGGAAAGTCATTTCCCGGAAGAGGGAGTGACAGGTACAGCAGAAAACGGGGTGATGGAAAAACAGACACTGATGGCTGCCAGTCAGAGATGCTCCCTGAAGATCAGCGTATGGGAGGCGGGAAGGGAAGGAGTCCCTGCCCTGCTTGGAAGGTGCCAGGCTGGCTCCCTTCAGGAGAGGAGGCTGGCCTGGAGAACCCTTGACCCGGCACAGGAACACGAGTCCTCACCTCTGCCTTTTGCTTCGTGTCTGCCTTCCTCTCCCGGGGCTTTTTCCCTCCTCTCTCCTTCCTTGGGAGCAGGGACTGGGCGTCTACCTTGCGGCGAGCTTTGGAGACAAAAGTGCTGGAGAAATCCAGCTCCTCCTGTGGGCAAGAGATGGAAAGCAGCAGCTCAGCCCCGGACAGGAGCCTCTCGGCCAGCCTCCCACGGAATTCCCTCCCTCTGGAAGAAAAACTGAACCAGCACCTGCCACCCTCTCATGGGAGACAGTCCAAACCTAGGACTAATGTGGCCAAGGCCGTCTGGCTGCAGTTCTCATGGTTTGGTGTTGGCTGTGACAATGGCTGGTGGAGAACCGGTGTGTGCTCCTCCTACACTCTTGAGGTGGGGATCACACAAACAAAGAAGCCACACGGGACCAGATACCTTCAACCCCACCTCCCCCCAAATAATATACTTTCTGTATCAGCTGAAATCTGAAACAGACTCTCAGCCTCCTTGTGAACTTCTTTTTCCCTGTCTGCCCGCTGGCCCAGGCTCACCTCCTCCTCCTCCTCCTCCTCCATCAAATGCCTGCTGGGGCTCCTGCCTGGGGAGGCTTCACTGAAACTCCCCTCTGAGTCAGGGGGGCCACCATCCAAGGCCAAAGTTCCCTCATTTTGTCCAGCTGAAGATTTGTTCTATGAAGAGAGCAATAAAACCTTGAAGCATCCAGAAATTAACCTGCCACCTGGGCAAATCAGTCGGAATATCTGCGGAGCTGGAAGCCAGCACGGTCCACTAAGACCTCTGTCTGAGCAAAGCGGCTGGCTGGAGCGCACACACCACAAACCGCCCTGGCAATAAGGGTGATTTTCCCATTGAGACTGGTCTCTGATTAAGGCTGAGCTTAATCTGGGCACGCCTGCCAGCGCAGCCAGGCGATTCACTCACTGCCTCACTCTTTGCCTTCAGCTCCAGGTCCCGCCTCTCCTGCCTCTTCCGGTCCTTCTGCCTCTGAGGACAAGCAGAAAGCATCAGGTTTCCCAGCCACTCAGCTCCCCCCTTCCAAGAGGCAAACTGGCTCCATCCCCAGTGTGCCACATTGATAGGGTTACCTTCTTCTTCATCCTTTTCTTCTCCGCCTTCTTCTTGAGGCGTTCTTCCTCAGCGACTAACAATTCCGCATTCCGCTCAGCCTCCTGAAAGAGAGCAGGGACCAGCCTCCTCAGCCACCAAGCCACCCTCATGCCCCACTGCCATCTCCCAGGAGCAGCTGAACAAGAAGCAAATGGAAAGGGCCAAGGGCTACACCTGGCCATTGACTGGCACCAAGGATAGTGTACCAGTAAGTAAGCAACACTACCACAGAAAGAAACAAAATCTAACTCCATTAACGAGAAACCAGTACAATGAATGGGATTCTTTCTTAAGTAGGCCATAATGTTTCACACTTTAAAAACGTTGACTCAGCAGCAGTTTCTGGAAACCTCTGGGAAGTCATGCGTGGCCTTGTTTAGATCAACAACTATCAGGGAATGGGCTAAATTAGACCTGGGAGCTTCCAAAGGGTGAAGTGGGTCAAATAAGCACCGACTCACCTCAGCTGTAAGTTGCTGTTTCTGGGGCAAAGCCAAGCCCAAAACAGCAAGGTCCAGATTGCTGCTTCGGGGAGGGAGAGAGGCAGAAGGGGGGCAAAGAAAGGCCCTCCGAAAACCACAGAACGTGGTGTAATGATTATGCAGAATGTCGTCATCGTCACTGCTCTCTTCTGCTTCCTCACTGCTGTCTTCCCAGGTCTCGTACCCGGAGTAGTTAATCACACAATACCAGCAGGGCTCTCGATTGAAATCTGGAAGGGGACCACAAGAGGCTTGAGTAAGCAAGACAGAAACCCACCTGACTAAAGCTTTGAAGCAATCCTCAGCCCATCCAGTGTTACTGAGCACAAAGGAATGTGGATCTGACCTTGGAACAGGGAAGGCAGGCGCAAGCATTAAAGACCCGCCCAGTCCCACGAAGGTGGAAAGCATGACAAAGTCAGTCAAAATAGTCCTGCCTTTCTTTGGTTTAGTGGACTGTGGGAGGCAGAAACTCAGGGGGCTTCAGGATTCTCTAATTTTTTTCCCTACAACCATAAGGAGCATTCCTGGAGTCCCTGCAGTTCGTTTCTTGACCTTGAAGGGCAGGCATCCACCCTGACAGGCTGCAGGAGCACCCAAAGCCTTCTTCATCAAGTTGAAGGCAAAGGCAGAAACGGCAACAAGAACGGCAGCTTGTTACTTTGGGTTGCTGAAACTAGCCGGGCAATTCCCAAAACCGGACAGTCTAACATTGTTCTTTGCTCCTATATGCTGGGATCGTCTGAAGGCATTTGATGCTACCAAAGGCACCAGGGTTACCTCCCCTCCACTCCACCCAGGATCATCCAAGTTATTCTTTGGCTTGTTTCTCCACTTTCCCCGGCTGTGAAGCCCGGGGCGACAGTCTTAGCCTGCTGCCCCCCTCCACCCAGCAGGGAGGATCCAAACGGAACTTGTTTTTATCCCGTCTTTGCTTTCGTACCGAACTCCAGGCCGCCAACGTGCCCGGCGCGCATCCCCCCCTCCGCTTGTTCTCCCCCAGGACGGCAAGGCTGCGAGACGGGCTGGGCGGAGGGAGGACCGGCCCGAAGACCCCCCAGCCGCCTCCCGAGACCTTCGCCCCCTCCCCAGAGGTCCCGCTGCCCGGGCGCTGCGCTTCTCGGCCGGGCCCTTCCCGCAAACCCGCCGCCGCCTCCAGCAAACGTCCCGCGGACGCCCCTTGCGCCCCCCCCCCGCCGCTCACAGGGACACCGCTGGCCCCGCCGCGCCCACTCCCAGTGCCGGACACGGGCGGCGGCTCTTTCCTCCTCCTCCTCCTCCTCGTCCTCTTCTCCTTCCCCGAGCGGCAGCCGCTGCATGATCCCGCCGAGGAGGGCAGCGGCGAGCGGCACCGCGGCGGCCCTCAAGGGTCCCTCTGGCGGAGAGGACCGGCGAGGGCAGCTGCGGCCCTTCCTCCGGAAGCGGAAACCGAGGTCTCCTTCCGGCAGGCAGCGAGGTCGCCATTTTGGTGCGGCCGCCGGGCCCGTCCGTGGGGAAAACGCGCGGGCGCATGCGCAAAGAGCCTCTCCGGGGGAGGGGTGCCCGTGCCGTGGGCGGGTGGGGGTCCGGGATGGAGGCGGCGCGGGGGGCCGGACAAAGCCGGAGGAACACAGAAGTTTAAAAATAAAACGGTTTCAACTGATTGACAATAAAAAGATTAGTCGAGACATACTGCACGTAGTCACTAGATTCCCGGAAGGTTGGCTATAAGATACACTTAACAAGACAAAAGGAGGAAGGCCGAAACAATGTAACCCTTTCTGGGGTTTGCTTTTGGTTTGGAGTTTCCCCACTTTTTTTGTAAATGATATATTCCAATCATTATAGAGTTGAAAGGAACCTTGGGGGGGTCTTCTAGTCCAACCCCTTGCTCAAGCAGGAGACCTGATACCAATTTTGGACAAGTCCACGCTCTTCTTGAAAGAAAGCCTCCAGTGATGGAACACCCACAACTTCTGGAGGCAACTGGTTCCACTGGTTAATTGCCCTTTCCTGCTTCTCCTTAATTCCAGGTTGCTCCTCCTTGATTACTTTCCATTGTTTCTTGTCTTTTGTTTCTTTGAAATGTATGCTTCATTGGAGCAGAAGATTGGATGCAAAATGTCCTGAGACTGCTTGGACTGACTGCATCTCTTTTAACCCTTAAGTCATTTCAAATGTTTATCTGACCAGGAAGTTAATATCCTGCTTTATTGTTTCTCTTTTTTTAAAATTTTTATTGAATAAAAAAAATTAAAAACATTGAACATGGTAAATCAGATTTGACAAACATCTCAGTTCATATTCACAATTAATTACTAATAAAAACTCTATACAATAACATCGCTCTAATCTTAATCTTAACTTATTACAATACTCTGGTTTCTCTTCAGATCGTATAAATCTTTCGCCTTTTACTGCTTTATTGTTTCTCACTGGTCTGAAAAATGCTGAGAGAATAAAAATTGTTGATCATTGAAAATTATTTTGTTATTGTGCAGATCGCTACATTTACCATGTTTTTCACTGTCTGCTTCGTGCAGCTGGAGGGAGTGCCTGGCTCAAGGTCACCCAATCTCTGGTGGGACTGAAACACGGGCTCTTCTGTTTCTAGCCTAGTGCCTTAACTATTACACCAAACTGCCTCTGTGTGTTTTAGCACATGACTATATTAATGTTCTGAGTTCTCTTCCCCTATATTTCCCACATTTATATTACAATTGGACTAAAACCTTGTTAATTATACCACTCCAATTGTCTGTTGAGTCTGAGAGTGTATAGTCCCAACATACATAATATTAAAACTACATTTCCATAGAAACATAGTACAATATTCTCATGCTGAGCAATCATAAAAACCACTATAATTGTAGTAATCTACAATGAGAGCAGAATTAATGTTAAGTTCAAATTGGCAGCGTGAAGGATGAAAATCAAATCAAATACAATGAAACAACTGAGCCAGGTAACCCAATGAAGAGCAAAAGTCATTAGGACCAATTAAGCTGCTGGGAAAGGACTTGGGGGGGGCATCCTCTTTCCCAGCCCTTCATTAAAGCCAGCCTCAGGGAAACCGGGCGGTCCTTTCCTGCTATCTGGCAAGGAGCCCCCCAGAGTGGCTCCCTTCATGTCAAGCCAGAGCTCTGGTCGGGCATCTGTTGCTTGCGGAGGTGCTCTGAGCTGGGTGCCCTTCAAGGCCCAGGGAGACGCTGGAGTCCAAGAGTGATTTCAGATTGGGCTTCTGCTGAAATTGATGGGACTATGAGGGGGGATTGGGGCCTTTGCCTAATTTAAACCATTTTCTCGGTTTGCAGGGCAAACTGAATCATACACGCAATAGGTGGAGAGGTTACCTAACACATTCTGCCACAAACAGAAAAAACAAGGGACCCGAGGTGGTGGAATTAGCTGTGATATCTGCCAGAGAGGCTCCTGCTCAGATCCTTGACCTTGTGCCTCAACTGCAGGAGCAATTGTAGTTTGCCTGATGCGCTGTGCGATTTTGCACCATATTTGGGGCCATCCAGCTCAGGCAGGGTACGAGAGCTTACTGCTCTGGCCGCTGTGGGGAAGCGATCTGCCTCTCAGCCCGGTCCACCTCACAGGGTGGTGGTTGGAGGGGAAACAGGAGGAAGCAGCAGCAACATGCTTGGAAAAATAAGCGGCTTAAACATCGAGCATGGTAACTGCGGGCGCGCTTGCTTGAATTGGGGCAGGAGAGGGCTTCTGAAGGTGGGGCTGCTGCTTTCAACGAGGGCCGGCGGGGGGGGGTGGAAGTGTTCGCACCGCGCCCCCCCAGATCTGTACCCCGGCTGGACTTCCGCCTGGCCGCAGCCTGCCCAAGCCGGAGACCTCGCAGCCGCCCTTTGCCCAGCCCCGGGACTTCAGCTTGAAACTTTCTGCTCAGGGCACGAGGCGGAATAATAAAAGGCTACAAGGCGCAGAAACCAGGCAACCTCCGGGAAAAGCAGCCCTGCAGAAGCCGTCCCGCCAGGCGAGGGGGCTACTCGGCCGCCCTAACCCCGGGCCCCGGACGCTCCAGCCACAGATCCGCTGGACGCCTCCCGCGGGCTCCCGGCTGAGCTCCGTGCTGTCCGGGTCCCCGGCTGGCCCAGCCCGGCCACGTGACTGCCGCCCGCCCCGCCCCTCGCGCCGAACCGCCTGGCAACGGCGCTCCCGGCGAAGCGTCGCGGCTCCCGGCGCTGCAGGCTCCGGCTGAAAGAGCGGCGGGAGGGGGCGGGCGGGCGCGCTGCAGCTCTCCGAGGCGCCCCGCGCGTCCTCAGGTCCCGCGTCTTCCCGCGCCTCGGCGCCGCCCTAGCGCCCCTCTCTCTCCGGTGCCCCCCGCGGAAAGGACGCCGGGCTATGGAGCATCGCGGGCAGCGGGACCCCGAGCCTGGTAGGTGGAGCGGGCTGCGCCCGGTCCCGCTGGCTCTGACGTCGGCCAGAAGCCTCCGGGTGGAGCGCGGCGGGGACTCAATGGGCGCCCCCCCCCCCAGCGCGGGTTGTCCTGACCGCCTCTTGGGGGTCTGCTGGGAGGGCAACGGAGCCGGGGCTGCTCTCCTTGGGGCTCCCCCTTTTCTCTCCAGCTAGACTTTCCCCTCGGTTCCCCCGCCAGGAAGGCAAGGGGGGGCTTGTCCGGGAGGCCATCGCTGCAGAAGCTGAGTGGGGGGCACCGGACCTCAACAGCTGGGGAGGCAGGAGGGTGTGGGGTCTTTAAAGCAGCTGTTTTGTGGGGGTGGGGGGGGGAAGAAACCCAGGAGGGTCTGTAAGCATCCCTTGTTGTCCCCACAGGGTCAGGATTGTGGGCAGAGATCGTCAGGCCCCTCCCCGAAGCAGAAGAGCCTTTGCCTGCCCACCTGCATCCCAGCCAGCGACACCTGCTTCTGGCCCAACCTGGCAGCACAGCTCAGGGGGAGGAGGTGCCCGGCGACCTGGCCCAAGCGGACGCCTACCTGGGGATGAGCCGCTGCCTATGCACACCAGGCTTCCTTGGCAGCTGTGGGTGCCCGGCAGCCACAGACCCGGCCAGGGGGGCTTTCTCCTACTGGGCTGGGGAGAACAGGGTGGCTCATCAGCGCAAGACACTGAATGGCCTGTTGCAGCAGCAACATTGCTTGCGCCTGGCTCGCCACTACTACCGGCGCCTTAAAGCAGCTTCTGACTTTGTGTACCGCTTGATGGAAGTCGAGTGTTGTTTCCTGACACCGGCCGGCCGGCAGAGCTCTGACGGGAGTCGCCTGCTGCGGGGACTCTGCCAGGAGCTGCCGGTGCACACTTCCCACTGGGACTGCCTGCAGTGCCACATGCGCCAGGACCCCTGGCTGAGGCCTCTGCTGCTTCGGCAGCCTGAGGCGGTGCAGCGCATGAAGGAGTCCCTCTGGCTGCTGGCTCTGCAGGCGCTCTGCCTGCTGGAGAGATGCTTGCAGGCCCTGCTGCAGCACGGGGCCCCTGGCCCCTGCCCTCTGCTCTCGGAGGCCTTCCAGAGCCTGAGGAGCTACAACCAGGGGCTGAGCAATTGGGGCCTGCAAGGGGCCAAGCTGGGGCCTGGGGCTGCAGGGCAACAGGGGCTGCAGGCCTTCTCTGTGGAGAGGGTGCTGGACATCTTGGCTGCCGAAAGAGGACGCCTGGCCGGTGAGAGACTGTCTGTGCTGCTCCTGTGGCAGCCGGCAGGGACCGGCGATGCGGGGCCCACAACTGCTGGCACTTCCGGGGCAGGCGAGGGCCTCCCTGCACACCTGCAGGCCTTGTGCCAAGAAGAGGAACAGGCGGTCACGGCGCTGCTGCCAGAACTGCTTGCGTCCACTGGCGGCCTGGGACATCGCCTCCTGCACTGGCCCAAGTGGGACCAGCCCCAGGGAGCCCCTGAGGCAGCTCAGGACCCGGCCCCTGCCCCGCTGCCTAACTGGAAGTCTTCCGATTGGCTGGACGCCTCCTTCGCCGAAGCGGCTGCCATGCTCTGCGCTGAATACCGACCCCTCTTCTGGAGAGCAGCGTCCTCCTCCTGGGCACGCCAGATGGACCTCCGAGCTCACTGGGCTCAGCTTCAGAGGGGAGCTGGGGCTGCCCTGGGCCAGCGAGTGACCGTCGCCCTGGCGGAGGGTAGGCCAGGCCCAGGGGAGGGGCAGGGATGAGTGCTGGGAGCTGGCCCGGTCCGGGGCAGACGCAGGCAGCTCCAGAGCTTTCACCGGGGCATCGGGTTCAGCGGGCCCTGGCTCTGCGCATATGAGGCTTGCCCTGGCCAGGTGAAGGCTGGGCCCTCAAGAACTCGGACAAGCTAAGAAATCGAGTGTGGGCAGCAGCGTTCCCATTTTCTAGAGAGATTTGTTTCTTGCCAGTGGAATATTTCCTGGGATTTGTTCTATTTAGTGGATTTTGGCCTTGCTCAGCAGGGGACACTCAAAACTTTGCCCAGCACGTGTGTTGCCATCTTGGCCTGAATGAGTGTGACTGGAGGGGGTGTGGCTCATTCTCTGCCTCTCCCCCCAGTTGGGTTGTTTCCATTTTGGGGGTGGGGGGGAGCCCTCTTCCAAGCACATTCTCTGCCTGGAGCTCCTGTTTTGCAAGTAGCAGGTGCCTTTCACAGAGGGGACTGTGACCTTGTGGACGCATCGTGTGTGTTGACATCTATGTAGCCCCTTTTGTGTGTGCTTCGTGGTGTTGCATGCAGTTATGCACAAGGTGGAGTTTGCGTAGCTACACGTGTTGATCATTTTGATGAACGCTTTAGATTTTAGGAGCTCTCAGACCTTCCACCTCAACCCCCCCCCATGCTAGGGAATGTTGCACAGGAGGGGCCCACCTGCCTGCCCTCAGGCTCTCTCTCTCTCTGCCTGGCCCATGAAGCTCTGGCCTCCGAGCAAAGGCTTTGCCTCCCGCCAGACTGAAACCGCCGGGAATGTCTGTTTTTGCTTCCAGCTTGCCTGCCTGTGGAGGCTGCAGAGGAACTGAAGGACGTGGCGCTTTGCCTGCTCAGGCGTGATGCCCTCTGGCAATGGGACGCAGGTAGGGTCCTCGTGGGGAGGAGTCAGGAGGGGGGCTGTGGGCAGCCTGGGTTGTGATGGCTCAGGACAGGCCAATTCCCATCCTGTTTGTGAGCCCTCAAGGTTACTGGTGCAGGGAGAATTTGGGCCCACAACTGCATTCGGACCCCTCTTTGCCCAGGGTTCTGCCACGCTCTGGGCACCAGCCTTGCAGACAGATGCTTGCCCAAGCCCAGGACTGTGGCCTGCAGCCAGACAGGGCGGGTTTTGCAGAGCCTCTTCCTGCTCCTGGCCTTCAGCGTGAGATGCCTGGAGATCCGGCTCTTCCAGGGTGGCCCAGGTGGGTCCTTCAGCTTGTTCTTCACCTGGGTGTTGGGGGAGACAGTCAGGGAGGGCTCCTTGCCAGCTGAGCTGGTTTCTCTTCCACAGGGCAGCGCCTGGTCCCTGCCAGCCTCCACCTGCACCTGCTTTCCCTCGTGGTGGCTACCTGCCATGCCTCTTCCTACTGGACCATGAGCAAAGCCTACCAGTACTTGGCCTCCTGGTCCCTCGGCCAGTTCCTTCTTGTGACCCAGGGGGATCTTCAGGTAAGTGGCTGAACCGGAGCCCTCCTGGCCTGGAGCCGATAGAAGAAGCAGGCCTCAGTTTCCCTCAGTTGTGTTGTATCCAATGAAGCCCGGAGGAAAAGCCTCCTGGAATCCACCATTCCAAAAAGAGGGGTTGTTGATGGGCCTTGCCATGCAAGCTTCCCTGAAAGACGGGGGGTGGGGGTGTCCAGTGGTTGAGATGAGAGGTCTGCCTGGGAGCCCCAAAGGACGCCCCTTTTCGTAACCTGCAAGGACAAAGGCTTCTTCTTGCAGCTGCTGAAAACTGAAGCCAGGAAGATGCTGGTGCTGGTGAGCAGGGCCTTCCCGGAGGACAGAGGGAAGCAGAGCCCTTTGGCCTCTCACCGGGAGCAGGAGCTGAGCCTGCAGGTCCACTTGGCAGCCACCGGCATCCAAGTAAGCTGGAGGGAGGAGCCTGTGGCCCAGGAAGGTTATTGGACAAGCCTACTGGGGATAATGAGGGGCCCAACAAGGTCAGGAGATGCTGCCAGTTGTGCAGGAACCCTGGTCCTGGCAGGCCCACAAGGGTGCCTGAAGGTCGGCTCTGGTCTCCACCGCTTGACATCCCAGCTGTTTTGGCGGAGGCAGAAACTCCCTTGTTGCTTCCCTCATCCTCTCCCCTTGCCCCATTGGGGCCGCAGCGGTAGCAGAGGGGCAGTGCTGCCCCTCAGGGTCTGCCTCCCTTAGTTATGTGTGGGCGAAGGGCTTCCAGAGATGGTGAGAACCTCAGAAGAGCCCTTGGCCTGACTGCCTCCTTGGTGCCTCTAATCGGGCAGCTTGGAGGGGCGAGGGGGGGGGGCAACTGAAGGCCCCGGAGAAGCGAGCAGGCCTTGTCTGGAGGAGGAGAGTCCCCTTCCGCTCCTGGCAACAGCCAGGGTCGCTAACCTCGTAATTCAAGGCGTAGCCACAGTTACCAGTACTAGAGAACTCAGCCCTCTGGGTAGGCAGGAAAAGGCGCCTACCTTGTGAGGTTTTCTTCTTGGGCCTGGGGTGCTCCTGTGTCCCAGACTTCCCTGTTTGCTCCCGTCAGCAGCTCCCAGGTGACGCTTGGCTGGCCAAACTCTGGCTTGGAATTCCTGAGGAGGATCCGGTCAAAGAAGCTGGTTATAGAAAAGTAATAAGGGCAGTTAAAGGGGCTAGAAACCAGATCTTGGAATGAGAAGAACACAGAAAAACTCTTCAGAAACTGACAGAAGGTCCCAGAAATTGTTCACAATTGTTCTCAGCCGCCCCTCGGAGCAGAATAAGGAAGTGTGGATTTATTTGCAGTATTTAATTTCCGAACCTCGCTTTCTACAGCTCCAGGTGGTGCACATCATGCCTCTTCCTGTGGGGAAGAAAGGGGGACTGGCCCAAAGTCGTCAGCTGGCTTGAGCTTGCAGTGTCCCAGATTGTGGGCTGCAAGAAGGTCGGTTCCAGTTTAATGTTACAACAGACGTTCCGACCGATCAAGGCAATTTCATGGCAGAGATTGGGAGGGGGGTCCCTCGACTGAGTGGGCTCAGGCAGAGGCTGGGCAGTTGAGTTTGTTTCCTGTGCTGGGCAAAGAGAGGGGGGGCTCTAGACCTCAGTGATGTTTTGAGCCTAGAGGAGGAGGAGGCAAAAAAGGCACGGGGGTGCTGGGGACGGGCCAGGTGAGGGGCGTGAGGCCGTCCAGGGCTGTGCATCCCACCCTCTCTCGCCCACAGCTTTTTGCAAGTGGTGTGCTGGAGTTGCTTTGTTTGGACTGCAGACGGGTCTCAGCGGAGGTCTTCAGACAGTCCATGCCACTTGGCAAATACTGGCGTCTCGCCCTCCAGGCAGGTATGTGTGCAGGGAAGGACCAGGGCTTTCTTTGGAAGGCTGGCCAAGCCTGTTCCTCCAATCTTTGCATATCCTGGCACACACCCTTCTCCTTCAAGCAGCCTGTGGTGGATTTGCAGACCGTCCCAAGGGACCGGGGGGGGGACAGGGCTGGGGAGGCAGGCCGCTGAAGAGGGACAGCGGCACTTGTCCACCTCTGACTGTGTCTGCCCTCGCCCACCTTGCCCTTGCAGAGCCGCCTTCTGCTGCCAGCGACTATGCCCAGGCTGCAGCCCAAGCTGTCTTGGCTCCTGTCTTGCAAGGCATCCGGTGGCTGTCCCAGGACTCCCAGGCCCTGGTCCTCAGCCAAATCACGACTGCCTTCCTGGAAGTCTGGATGGAGCACATCCTGGCCCAGAAGATCAAGTTCAGGTGAGCTGGCCTGTCTGAGGCGCCTTGGCTGGGTTGGCTGGCCTGGCCGGCAGGTACCCTTTGCCCACTGACCCTTTCAGCCTCCAGGGAGCCCTCCAGCTAAAGCGGGACTTCGATCTGGTGTGGGAAGCCCTGCAGCTGGAGGACTATGAGCTGTCAGCAGAAGTGAAGCAGCTGGTTTCCTCCCTTCGGGTCTTCCAGCAAACAGACAACGCCATCGCCTGCCTCCTCCAGCAGCCCAGCAAGGGCGCCTTGTCCTCCTGCAGCTGGGATGCCCTGCAGAAATGCTGTGAGTGCCGCCTGGGGGGGAAGAAGGCAGAGCTGCAGGAGGGTGACGGGTACCCCGCCCTCTTAACCGCGTGGCCCTATGGAGGGGGGGGCTTGACTGGCTAGAATGCAGGGGCCAAGGGCCAGGATTTTGACGTGGCATGGCTGGGAAAGAGCCTCCTTTGTGGAGGACCAGGAGCCCCAGCCCAAGGGCTCTCGCTCTGACTTACTTGGTGGCCTTTGTCCTGCTGCCTCTGAGCTGAGCCCCCCCCCTCCTCCTCCGCTCCAGGCTCACGTGACGGGATGCGGTCCTGGCATGGCAGCCCAGGCAGCCTGAGCAACCTGGAGCACCTGGAAGGGCTGCCCGTCCGTGCTGGAGCTGGGCCAGAGAGCTGGTCAGCTGACTTGCGGAGCCGTGCCCCAGGAGGTGGCACAAGCTCTGAGACCTACCTGAGCCTGGCAGAGCAGGAGTGGTTGGCACTGCGGCTGCACGGGGCCCGCCGCTGGAGGATGCCCACCCTCTCCTGCATGAACCTCCCTTCGGAGCCTTGAGCAGCAGCCCTGGATCCAGCTGGGCCCCGGCCCTGATCTCTGTCCACCCTGTATAAAACAGCGCTCCCTCCTTCGGGATGTCTGCATTGATGGGCCTTCCAGCCCCCTTTCGTGGGGGCTGGAGGCATTGGGAGGAGCCCAGTTCCACAGAGGCCTTTCTTGCCCGGGCAAGTTTCTGCAACGGCCCCCTGGCAATTTGAAATCCCTGATTTCGGTGTAGGAGTAAATCCATAAGAAGCAGCCTCTTGCTTTGACTCGGAGCGATTCCTCGTCCTGGCTGGGCATTCTGCAGGGCGAGGGAGGCTCGGCTGGGCCATAGCGAAGGATGGGGACAACCAATCTGGCTCCTGGGTCTTCTGCTTGAAAAAGCACGGTCTTTCAAGGTTAAGGGCTGGTCCAGCAGGACCCCTTCCCTTTGGGGGTCACCTGGGACCGGGGTGCTAGTAAACGCAATTGGGGCATTTCTTGGGGTGTTTGGGAGAGAAGGGGGGGGGAGAAGGCCTGCGCAGGTGATGCAAAGGCCTGTCCACCCCCACTGCCTGCCCAGCTTGCCTTGCAGGAGACAAATGCTACGGCCTTGGTCCCTGCTTTGGCTTCCCTGAGGCCAGGTTTGCTCTCCTCAGGCAGGACCTGAAGGTGCACCATTTGTCCCCAACCCTCGAAATGCTTTTCCTTTTTGACCCACCTGCCTCTGACCGTCCAACCTCTGGGCCTTAACAAAAGTTGTTGCCTCTCGGACACCCTAAAGCTCCTGGTGGTCGCTGCTCTTCCTGAAGCTCTTGGCCGCAGTTTGCCTCTACGCTGTCCCTGGGCTGCCAGAGGAAGGGAACCGAGCCGGGTGCCAGCCCAGGCAGGTGTCCCGAGTATTAGGGGGACTTGGGGAAGCCCCTTCCTGGCTTAACGGCTTCAGAGGCTGGTTGCCACGGGTACATTTGGAGGCCTCAGCCAGGGAGAAGCGGATTATTGATTTCCACATTCATCTCATGTGAAAGTCGAAAGGATAAAATCAAAGAAATAAAATAAAGGCTATTATATACCTTGCAGGTCACAAGGCGCTTGATTCTATAGATAGCACCTCTTTCTCTGGGGAAATCATCTTGTCATCTTGGCCGGGGTTTATATTTTGTGGCTGATTTTGTTGTATGAACTCAGCCTGTGCTTAGTTTACGGTTTGGGCAAGGTGTGGACACAACCTGGGTTGAATTTGTTAAGTATGATCTGCAACTGCACGCCCTACTCAGTCTCCGACTTTGGACCTGCCAAATTTCCCGAATGCTGATGATGCGAGAGTTGATCCAGCAAGACAGAATGTGACAGGTTGCCCCTTTCAGTCCATTGGACACTACCTTGGCCTGTGCCCCCCCCACCCCCATAAAGGCCAAGGGCTCCGGAGGCGCTATTCCTGACCTGCACAACCTCAGAGCACCAGGCGTTCTGATTTTAAGGAAAAGGAAAACGGCCAAAAACGTATTTGGAATTTGAAGAGAAAAAGGCTTTTAATACAGTAGCTTCTAGCGTGAGGTCCCTGTCTCTGCCCCGCCCGGAGGTGGATTCAGGGGACGATCGACACCTCTCGGGTGGAGATCCTGCCTCCCCCACCCCGAAGAGCTTCGCCCCAAATCCAGCAGTTCCTGGCAGCTTTTGCCCCAGTTCCCTTTGGGGCAAATGGGAGGGGAGCAGAAGCTCCAGCAGAGGCTGGAGGAGCCCGCAAAGAGAGGGGAGACGACGCGGCTCCGCTTTCCCGACAGAGGCTGCCGTGTGGGGTCCCGAGCGCTGCCCACGAGGCTTTAACCCGGTGCTGGCTGGGGGGCTCCGGGAGTGGAGTCCACCCATTCCAAAGTTGCTTTTTTTCCCTTCGAAAGGCAACTGGACTTTGTTTTCCGGTTAAAGAACTGAAGAAGCTTCTTCGGTGGGAAGCAAAACGTCCTCAAGGAAAAAACCAAGGAAGTCCCGTTGAAGGGGAAAAAAAAAACACCTTTGGGACCACCACGACCCGCATGACGGAGCTCCTCGGGGGGCGCCCAGCCCGGAGCGGGAGCCCGTTTCAGCGCCGGCGCCGCAGCCAGCGCGAGCGACCCTCTCGGGCCGGACGGGAGCCGGCGGATCAGCACCCTGCCCAGCTCGGGGCCGAGGCCGAGGAGCCTCCAAAGCGAGCGTGGCTTCCCGGGGCATCCGCGGGAAAACGCCACGCTGGCCGGACTACGAATTCCGGAGGCCTGGGCGTCCTCGGCCCCGCCTCTTCCGGGCGCACTTCCGGCGTGGAGGTGGCGACAGCCTGGGCGGCCTCTCTCGCGCGCCTCATGTCAGCCTCGGCCCTCCCGGCCGGCTCGGGCCAGCTACTGCGGGGCGACCGCGGCCCCTTCCCTCCGCCGGCAAGTACCGCCGCCGCCCCGCGCCCCTTCCGTGCGGGGGCGGCTCCCGGAGGCGGCGCTGCCATTGGCCGCCCTCCCGGCCGCCGCCCTCTCCTCCCTCCCCCGCTTCCCCGGGCGCGGAGCCAGGCCGGAGCCCCGCGGGCGCCTCTGGGAGGCTGCCGCCCCCGGCCTGCTCCGTCCCGCGCAGGGGCAGCCCCGGAGGCCCCGATTCCCGCCGCGGCCCGGCCTCGCTGGGCGGGGAGCCCCTCCCCCCGGGCGGCTTCCCCGCGGCGTGACCCCTCCCCCCCGCAGCAGGAGGCCCTGGACGGAGCGGGCGGCGGCGGCGAGGAGGAGGACGAAGATGCGCTGGGCGAGGAGCTGGAGGGCGGCGGCGGGGAGGCGGCGCCGTGGAGCCTGCAGGAGAAGGCGCTGCACGAGGCCCGGCTGAAGGCCAAGGCGAAGCGGCGCTTGCGGCGGGCCTCCTCCCGCGATTCCCATCGGGAAGCCCTCCCCGAGAAGGGCGAGCCGGAGCCGGAGCCCAGCAGCCCGAAGGGCAAGAACCACGACCGCAAGTCCCGCATGGGGAAGGGCCGCGGCCTGCCCAAGAAAGGTACGGCCGGGGCCGCCGCGGGGCTGGGCCGATGCTGCCAGGGGGGCAGGCCTGACAGCCTTCCCTCTTTCCAGGTGGGGCAGGGGGCAAAGGCGTCTGGGGAGCGCCCGGGGTGGTCTACAGCTACCAGGAGCCAGATGCCCGGGACCCCAACTACGACGAGGCTGCACAGGTACTGCCTGGGGCCGGGGAGAAGGCGTGGAAGCCTCCCAGGCCGAGCTCTGCCCTGGCAGCCCTTGGGAGTCACGGCTGAGAGGGCGAAAGGAACAAGAGGCCCCGATGCCCAGGCGGGCTTCACCCCCCCTTCCTCCTCTTTCCCGAGTCCCCCTTCTCTTGACCTGCATTGTGGATGTCATTTACTCAGAAGAGCTGAGCCACTGCTCGCCTCTTACTTATTCGGTAGGGCTGGCGCTCCCGGCCTCTCCTCTTGGAGGCCCAACCTGCAACAGACTTGGGCAGTCGAGATGGCCCAGAGGGTCCCGTGGCTCTTGCAGGGCCTGGTCTGAGGAGTGGGCTGCTGTTCTCTGGCCAAGGAGAGGCTGAGCAGGAGGGCCAGGAAGGGCAGCTTTAATGACTGCTGGACTGGTTTAGGGAAAGACTGTCTATGCCACGGTGGTGCCTGAACTGGAGGAAAAGGAGCTGGAGAAGACTGTGCAGCCGATGGTGCTGGAGTATTTTGAGCACGGAGACACCTTGGAAGTGGTGGTGAGTCTGAGCAGGAGCAGCATCCCCCAGGGTCTCTCAGGCAGGGACCCCCCCTCCCTTGCAAGAGAGAGCCTCTGGACCACCTACAGGCACAGAGCCTGGAGGAGGCACCCGGTTGTGTAATCAGCAGAGACTCTAATTGGGATGCTTGTCTCTAGTGCAGATGGCTGTGCTCAGGGTCGCTTGGTCAGCCACTGGATCCAGGCGATTCAGATGGAAAGGGAAAGAGGCTGCCTTGGTGAAAGGGGGAGGGTGGGAACGAGAACTTCAGAGGCTCTTTTGGGCTGGACCAGGGCGCTGCGTTCGAAGTCTGCCATTTCCCTTTGGATTTTCCTCCAAGCCTGCCCCTGGGTTAGCCTCGCTTGTGTCCGGCCACCTTGGAAGTCTGCTTGAGAGGGAAGCCAGGAATTGCCCAGGGTGGCATTCCTGGCCAAGGGGAGCGCCAGACGGGGTCCCAGCAGAAGAGCCAATGGAAGCGGTGCCTCCCATCCTCTGGGTCAGAGAGCTCCGTTGAGGGCTGTTCTTAGGGTCTCTTGTGCTGACACCAAAGCTGACCGGTTTCTTTTTAAAAGCCAAGTTCTTTTATGTGTTGAAAAGTCGATAAGAGTTTTAAGAAGGATGGTTTCTTTTAATTGGGTCGGCTTCTCTGGAGCACTTTGACCTGCTGTGTATTTTGGCCTTTCAGAGAAATTTCGCCTGCATTATACTGGTGAGGCCTTTTAAATCATGTGATTATCCTTGAAGATAATCTCGCTTTCATTAAAAGTGCAGCTCCTGTGAGCCGATTTAAACCCCTCACGTAGGCAGGTAAACACAGCGTCTCTGCTGCTTGCAGGGAAGCCTGGGACGGGCTCCGGGGCCCCGGCTAGGCCTTACCTCGACTGCCCCTCTTCCCTCCTTTGTCAGGAGCTGCTTCGGGATCTGAACTTGGGGGGCCACAAGGCAGCCGTGTCCTCGCTGGCCGTGGTGCTCTCTCTGGAGGGGAAGGCCAGCCATCGGGAGCTGACCTCCCGCCTACTCTCGGACTTGGTGGGGAAGGTGCTGAGTGCCGAGGACATCGCGGCTGCTTTTGACGGGATGCTGCACGACCTCCCCGACCTCATTCTCGACACACCTGAGGCGCCACAGGTCAGTCCTGCCCAGGAAGGGGGAGGGGGCTTTCCTCTTCCCGTCACCGTGGCCCCTGACCTTGTGGCCCTTGTCTTGCCTGTGCAGATGCTGGGTCAGTTCATCGCCCGCGCTGTGGCCGACCACGCGCTTCCCCTCAACTTCCTCGAGCGCTACAAAGGGCGGGTCGACTGTGAACACGCACGGTGAGAGGGCCGGCCTCAGGCGTGCCACGCCCTCACTGAGATTGACAGGTCCAGCCGGGTGGAGGGAGGACGACCTCTGCACTAATGGGGAGCGTGTGAGAGACACAAGCCAGCTGACCGCCTGCCGCCGGCTCGGTTGCTGGACACGCTTTTCTTTCCCTGCAGGGCTGCCCTGGACCGTGCTGCCATCCTCCTGCGCATCAAGCGGGACGTCAATCGGTTGGACAATGTGTGGGGCGTGGGGGGCGGCCAGAGGCCAGTCAAGCATCTGATCAAGGAGGTGAAGAACTGCAAGGGGGGCCGTTCGGTCTGCCCTTGACTGCCCCTCCGGCAGTTCTTGGGTGGCCCTTGGATGCTTAGCCATCTGCCAAATGCACGGGGGTCGAGATGGGGAATGTCTTTGGGGCCAGGCATGCGGAGGGAGGGAGGGAGGCTGAGGCCTGTTCCATGCCGGGGTTTGCTCAAGGAAAGCCAGTCATCCCAAGTGCTGTAAGCTTCAGGAAGCGAAGGCAGTGAAGTTGCAAGGCTGCAGGAGAATAAGAAACCGATTCCAGGAACTGTTCTTATTAGTTAACGTATTCAAGCTTGGTACTGGAAACAGCTAAACTGGCAAGTGCCAACCCCAGTTTATGGGACTTATTAAAACACAGTGGTGAAGCACAGAGCAGCTCCCTGCCTAGGAAGGGGTGCTCAGATGCATAGAATAAAGGAGAGGGGCCAGCCAAAGGGGCCTTGGGGACCACAGGAAGGGCAGTGTGTGCAGTGCTGTGAAGGAGGAGGCGGGGGGGGGACAAACAGGAATTATAATGGGGCTGGGGGATTACAGCAATCGGATGCTGAAGCCGGAACCCATCCAGGCTGGGGTCTGGTGCAGGGCTCTTCTGCCTGCCAAAAGGTCTTGAGAAGCTGCACCCGAGGCCTTGCAGCCCCTAACTCTCCTTCCCCAGATGAACCTCCTGCTGCGTGAATACCTGCTTTCTGGAGAGGTGTCTGAGGCTGAACACTGCCTGCGCCAACTCGAGGTGCCCCACTTCCACCACGAGCTTGTCTACGAGGTAAAGAAGGGAGGCAGGAGCTGGTGGGGAGGGAGCAGACCACGATCAGGGAGCCTTGGCGTGCTGGTGCCTACCAGGGCCTGCTTTGCCAAACTTATCTGCCGGCCTCTGGCCTGATGCTCGGCAATCCCTGCCTTGCTTGCTCTGGTTCTGCGCTCAGGGCACTTTCCCTCCGTGTTCCTGCCAGGCTGTGGTGATGGTGATGGAGTCTTCGGGAGACACGGCCGTTGCCATGATGGTGAAGCTGCTGAAAGTGCTGTGGCAGACGGGGCTAGTGACCCTGGATCAGATGAACCGGGTAAGACCCGGAGAGGCTCCAGCAGCCTCACGTGCCACCCAACCTTTGTGTCACCCACAGTGCCATAAAAAAGCCGGTGGCTCCTGAGGCCCTGCCTGCAGCAAGCCATTCTCCCCGTTCCCGTCTGTCTTGTCTGTCTCAGGGCTTCCAGCGGGTCTACGATGAACTTGGAGACATCAGTCTGGATGTTCCGCTGGCCCACAGCATCCTGGAGCGGATGGTGGATCTCTGCTTTGAGGAGGGCGTCATCACCAGGCAGCTGAGAGAGACCTGCCCTGCCCGGTAGGTCCCACCCAAGCCTTTTTGCCTGGGGGGGGAACCGTATTGGCTTCAGGGAGGGACTGACCTCCCCCAACCATCTGGAAGGGCTGCCTGGCCTGTTGCAAAAAAGTTTTGTGTTCCTCTTTAAGGGCTGTTCCTCGCGCTTGAGGGCGCAAGAGGCAGCTGGTTGAGGCAGGAGAGGATCAAATGGTCTTGCGAACAGCCCTGGGGAAATCCCGGTCACACTGCACCGGCCTCTAACTCCCCTCCTCCTCCTCAGGGGCCGGAAGCGCTTTGTCAGTGAAGGAGACGGAGGCCAAATCAAGCAATAACTGGAAGCTTTCAGCACCCCCCCCCCAAGCAATGCCTTCAACCCAGCCAGACCTGCCAGGAAGCCTTTGCTGAGCACCCACCATACACCTCCCCCAGCAGCGTGTCCAGCGGGCAGGAGGGCTCTTGTCGGGAGGGAGCCAGGGGAAACTGCACTTCTGCCGGACCGATGGGGGCGGGTGGTTCGGTAGAAGCAGGAGGAGGAGGAGGAAGGTTTGTTCTCCACACGCCCACTCCCACAGTGCGGCTGCCACCAGCCAAGCATCTCAGGAAGCCTCAGGCCAGCTGAAACTGCCGCAGAGGGGCCCTCTTTGGACCTGCTGGGCAGCCGGGCTGGGAAGGCAGGGGAGGGGCGCTTCCCTCGCAGCCTCCGGCTGGCGCAGAGTGGTTGGTCCCTGCCTTGTGCAGCCGGTTCCAAAGCACTGTGGGAAAGGAAGTCAGCTGGATTCCCTGCAGCCAAAGAACCTCCTGTTCCCAGGACCCCCTGAAGCCCCCTTGCCACCCACAGATGCAGGCGGGGGGCTGGCTGGGTTGAGGGCTGAGGAGCGAGCAGCCGAGCACCGCGGGTCTGATTTTGCCAGGGTTAATGGGGAGCTGCTTCTGCTTGGCGCTACCCACGGCTGGCAGAGAGACAGAGCAAATGGACATCAGTGCCGGAGGGAATTGTGCCAAAATGCTTAATGGTCTTGCAGGCAAAGGTGGTGGGGATGGGCGAGTTTAATGGGAAATTAAAATAAATGATGCACCCAAAGGGCTCAGACATCTCATTTCTTGCTGCAAACAGAACAGCTATTTGGTCATTTGTTTTTGGAAGCCAGAGTGGCATCTGACCCACGAAAACACAAGTGTCTTTTACAAGGAAACAATCCCCCCCCCCAATGTACAGGATTCAATGTGCAGCTGAAACTCCTGAATAAAGGAAGAGCCGTTTCCATATGAAATGCTCAGTTGTCAAATTATAGGTTTAGATCTTAGTACATAAAATCATAGAGCTGGAAGGGACCTCAGGGTCTTCTGGTCAAGGCAGGAGCTTTACACCATCCAGGTCAAATTGTTGCCCAGTCTGTTTTTGAAGACTTCCAGTGATGGAGCGGCCACCACTCCCAGAGACGAACTGCTTTGTTTTTTTTTAATTCTAGGCTGTGTCTCCCCTTAACAAGCACCCACCCTTTGCTTCTTGCCCTGCTCTCTGGTGCTTTGGAGAATAATCTCTCTTGATGGTTCTTCAAGTACTGGAATAGTTACCCTGTCCCCACTAGTCCTTCAGTAGGCTAGACGTACCCACTCCCTCAACCGTTCATCATACATCATATTAGTCTCCAGACCCTTTTATCATCTTCGTTGCTCTTCTCTGCATACTTTCTAGGGTCTCTGTATCTCTTTTTGTACGGTGGCCAGAACTGTCACCAGTGTGATATAAAGCAGTAGTGTCACTTCTTGTGATGTTGACAGACAGAATAACAGCTGGAAGGGACCTTGGACATCTACTCCAACTCTGTGCTCAAACAAAAAACCCTATACCATTTCAAGACAAGTGCTTGTCCAGACTCTTTAAAATCCTCCAGTGTTGGAGCACCCGTGACTTCTGAAGGTAAGCCATTCCACTGATCGTTCCCACCATCAGGAAATTCCTCCTTAGTTCCAGGTTGCTTCTCTCCTTGATGAATGTCCATTGCTCGCTTCTTGTTCTGCCTTCGGGTGCTTTGGGGAATAGGTTGACCGCCTCTTTGTGGTAGCCCCTTAGACGATGGAAGACTGCTATCGTTTGAAATGGTTTGGGTTCTCCTGTTTGAGGAGGGGGTTGCACTAGAGGGCTCCAAGGTCTTCCAACTCTCATTTCCCTCGTTCACCGATTTAGCCGCTTCGTCAAAGGCTGCGATAAGATCGGTCTGTTTACATAATGGAGAAAAGCGAAGGGAAACGGGAGGATGGTCTTCGAGGAAGGCAGGGCTGCTCTCTCGAACAAGCCGCCCCTTCGCATCCCCAGCAACAGCCGAGGTTGCAACCAGCGGGGGGAAGGAGGAGAGAGGCGCCGCCTTGCGAGGCCAAATCGGAGCCGCTTCGCTCCCGATTAAGGCGGCTTCCCGGGCCCTGCTGAGCCGTCCCTGCCCGAAATAGCTTCGCCTTCCCCGCGCTCTCCTCCGTTGCGCTCAGCCGGCTGAGCCTCCGGGCTCGGGAGCCAAGCAGCCAGGCCAGCTTCTGTGGGACGGGAGGCCACGAGGAAGCAGCCCGGGCCAGCTCACGGAAACGCCAAGAACACAGCCTCACGTGCGGTGGCGAGGCCACGCCTCGAGCGGCAGGAACTCGCCTTCCCAGGGTGCCTCGGGGCGCGAAGGCGGCGCGGGGCCTGCCGGGAGAGGCGCAGGGACACGCCAGGGCGCCCGCCGGGGAGCGCAGGACGGATGGCGCGCGAGCGGCGGCGGCGGGTGGCGGGCGCGGAAGGCGGCCGGCCGCAGGAACGGGTCCTGCGCGGGGGCGGCCGGCGGGAGCGGCCGGCGGGCGGGGCGGCGGGGCTGGTGCTCGGGGCGGCGGCGGTGCTGCTGCTGCTGCTACTGCTCGGCTGCGGCCTTTACGCCCGGTGGGGGCCCGCCGCGCGTCTGGTGGCCCCGCACGCCGCGCCCCGCGTCCTCCCGCCCGGCAGCACCGGCCCCGGCGCCGCCCCCGCCCTTTTCTGGGGCTCCTACCGGCCCCAGGTCTACTTCGGCCTGAAGACGCGCAGCCCGCGCTCGCCGGTAGCGGGTGAGCCCGGCGCTCTCTATGCGGGGCCGGGGGCGGGGGAGGTCGGGCCCCGGCTTGGCGGAGGAAGGCCGGCGGTGGCCGCAGCTCCACGCCCCGGGAAGGGGGCCGGCGGGAGGCAGCGGTTCGCGGGCCGGAGAGGCCCTTGAGAGCAGCGGAGACCCGACGGCTTCCCTCCGGGTCTTTGGCGGGGGGAGTGGGGGGAGAAACGGCCGGGATCGGACGTCTCCGGGCTCTGGCGCTCTTGGAGGAAAAGAAAAGGGCCTCCCGGTCCCGAATCCGGGGCCGCTGGGGAGCGTGTCGCCGGCTCCGAGCTGTTGGCCAGGTGGCCCGGTTGCCGCCGGACGTCAGTTGTGGCTTCTTCCCGCAGGCTTGATGTGGCTACACCAGCTAGAGGGGGATGTCCGGCTGCGCCACACCTGCGAACAGAGCGATGGTCTCCCCCGCTACGGCTGGCTGCTTCACGATGGCACCCATTTTGGGGTGCAGGAGATCCGAGACTTTAGTTTCAGCCTGCAGACGGAGTTTGTGAAGCGTCCCGGTGGCCAGCACGGCGGAGACTGGAGCTGGAGAGTGACCGTTCGCCCAGAAGTGAGTGGGGAGAAAGGGGCCCGTTTTACTTGCACGGGTTTTCTTAGTGAAACGTTTCTTATTATGAGGTGTCTGTTCCACTTCCTTACTAATGGGACAAGGATGGTTGCTGTTTGACTAGGCAACGTGGCTGTCCTTGGCTGCCATACCAGGTCAAGTTTGGAAGTTTAGCTTGCGGCCTCCTGTGGCTGGAAAGGGCTTTGTGCAACTCAGGTGTTTCCCCAGTTTATGGCAAGCCCATCTGGCATTTTCCACTCCCTACCAAAGGAAACAAATAAAGGCTGTTTTTTTCTTGTGTGTGTGTGTGTGTGTGTGTGTCCAATTATAACCACAGCCGTAGGGAAGCAAATTAAGGAGGTTGCCTGTTTTCTTGTGTCATCTTTGCGCATTTAGAAGACGGGCCCCAAGCCCCACTTTATTTCCCTCCTCTTCTACATGGCCACTGATGGGCAAGGAACGCTACAGCCTCTCATAGAGGAAAAAAGTCGGCTGGCGTTGCTAAGAGGACAGACGGAAGAACTGGGGAACTTCACTGTGTCTTTCAAGCAGCCCACCACTGAGGCTGGCACCCCCTTGTATGCCAGGTACAGAATGTTGTTGCTCGGGAAGTGAGGGGCCACTGTCTCCCACAGAGATTGCCCACATCCTTCTCTCTCCCACTAGATACAATTACCTGCAGGCAAAAGCGGAAGGGCTGCATCGCCTGACTGATGTGGTGAAATCAAGCCTGACTCCGCGGTTTTCCTACGCTCCGCCGGGGCTCCCCAAGCGGCACTACTTCGGCGTGGACGCCTACCACGGCCGAGCAGGGGACAGAGAGTTACGCAGCCAGCTCCTAGTTCACCAGGTGACAGTGGCTGTGCCCTGCCGCGTGGAAGTGGCTTTTGAGTCGGGCAGCGTGCCTGACCGCCCTGACCGGCTCCTGGCAGAGACGCTGACGCGAGAGCTGGACAAACACGTGACCGTCTTTGAGCAGCGCTTTGAGGAGAGCTTCGGCCTCTCCAGCAAGGGCTTCTCTGGGCAGGAGCAGCACTTTGCCTGGGCTCTTCTCAGCAACATGCTGGGCGGGATGGGCTACTTCTATGGGCACTCGTGGGTGCAGTCCCCCCACACGGAGGCCCCCCAGCCATACCCTGAGGGGTCTCTCTTCACGGCAGTGCCCTCCCGCTCCTTCTTTCCCCGGGGCGTCCTGTGGGATGAAGGCTTCCACCAGCTGCTCCTGGCGCGCTGGGACCCAGCCCTGAGCCGGGAAGTGCTGGCTCACTGGTTCGATCTCATGAATGCTGAGGGCTGGATTCCGCGCGAGCAGATCCTGGGGGATGAAGCCCTGGCAAAAGTGCCCCCGGAATTTGTGGTGCAGCACAACCAGGCGGGCAACCCCCCCACTTTGTTCTTGGTGCTGCAGCAGCTGCTCAGGCAGGGAGCAGTGGAGCAGGACTACCTCCGGCGCCTTTATCCTCGCCTGCAAAGCTGGTACAGCTGGTACAATCGCACGCAGGCGGGACCCTTGTCCTACACTTTCCGATGGCGTGGCCGGGACCAGGACACTCAGCTTTTCCTGAACCCTAAAACCCTGACCTCTGGGCTGGACGATTATCCCAGGGCCTCCCACCCCTCGGAGGACGAGCGGCACCTCGATTTGCGCTGTTGGATGGCTGTAGCTTCCGCCGTGATGGCCGAGGTGGCCACACGGGTGGGAGAACCGGAGAGCGACTACGCGCACATGGCCGAGTGGCTCGCAGACAATGAACTGCTTGAGCAGCACCACTGGTCAGAGGCTCTCAGCACTTTTGCTGACTATGGCAACCACACCCAGGCGGTGGCCCTGGAGCGCGAGCGTCTTCGGCCCCCCCCTCCTGGCCAGCCCTCACCCATTCCAAGACTGGTCCGAGTGGTCCGCAAGTCGCCCCGCCTGCAGTTTGTGGGAGGGGCCCTTGGCTACGTAAGCCTCTTTCCCCTGCTGCTGCAGATCCTGAGCCCTGATTCCCAGCACCTGGGCAGCCTCCTGGCTGACATAAAGAGCGAGCAGAAGCTGTGGACCCCCTTTGGCTTGCGTTCCCTGTCGCGCAGCAGCCCCTTCTACCTCAAGCACAACACAGAGCACGACCCCCCTTACTGGAGGGGAGCCATTTGGATCAACATGAACTACCTTGCAGTGCGGGCTTTGCATCACTACAGCCAAGCAGAGGGGCCCTACCGGGAGGAGGCTGCCAGGCTGTACCACGAGCTGCGCACCAACGTCATTGGCAACGTCCTCCAGCAGTACCTGGACTCTGGCTATGTTTGGGAGCAGTATAACGACCGCACAGGCCGGGGGCAAGGGTGTTACCCCTTCACAGGCTGGTCAGCTCTGGTTGTGCTCATGATGGCAGAAGAATACTGATCGGCCTGCTGGTGGGCCTGCGTCCCTGGGCAGCTCAGCTGGAGTGGCCGATGTGGGATTCTGGCAAAGGGACACAGGCATTGACCTTTTCCTCTGCCCTGCTTCGGGTTGGCATTCCAACTCGGAGAGTCTGGTGGGCAGTGCCTAAATGTAAGAAATTTCATATTGAAATAAAGCCGAGAGCCTAAAAGTTTTAGTTCCCCTCCTTTGGAAGCATGGGCAACAAAGGCATTGCTAATTTTTGAATGGCTGAAGAGGAGGGGGTGGTGAAAAGTCAGCTCCATATGGCCCTATAGAAATGGGGGGGGGGCTGTTACGGCTCCCACCAAGAGATAAAAGCCTCCATATTGCAGGGACTTAAGGAGCAGCAGCTGCTCTTCCACACAATCTCAAGCCCATAAAGCATAACTCACTGATTTGTGCTGTCCAGCTGGCACTTTGCCTTCTGTGCACTTTAACTTAGCCAGAGGTGGGGAGGCAAGACTTGGGAGAAGTCCCATCTTGTGAGAAAGGGAGGTTTAAACCGATGACCATGTCAAAGATATTTAAACTGGGCAAAGGTAAGAGTGTGCTGGTTGGCACATTAAACCCAGTCTGGTACGAAGGGAACGTTTTCCATGCCCAGTTTAGAGTGGCTTCATTTGATGAACCAACCTGGCAGGCAGCTCCTCCAGAAGAACCACACAATGCCTGGTGTTACATTGCTTCCCCCACCCACACACACACACAATGGAAAGTGCCTCCATCAGGATTTTCCATATCTATTTAATAAGAAGCACACAGTGCTACCAGGTGCTGGCAGGACACTGGCCAACGGGAAGGCCAGCTCCCCGCTCCCAGGGCAGAACAGGTGTTGGCAACAGCCATCTCTTCATGCAAACAGCCAACCCCAGTGCAACCTGGAAATGGGGAGGGGCTGAGCCTTCACCTACGCCATGCCTTACATCAAAGCTGGAGCACAGCAGGAACCACACATACACATGTACGGAGCTATCACTACGGTTATGATTCAGCAGGCAGCTCCCCGCTCGGCCCCAGCTGCTGCCAAGGGCTCTGGGTTCCTGTCCCAAGGAGGGAGCGGAGCAGTAATGGCAGAGCAGGAAAGGACCAAGGAGATGTCTGTGTGGCTGGGCAGAGAAGTGAGGGTAAGGCGGTAATCCTCCACAGTGATCAACAGGCAGCCGGGCTGCCCTGGAGCTCAGTCTCCAAGGTGAGTGGGGCAGCCAAGCACAAGAGCCCCACTTCGGACAGGCAACGTCGGTGAGGGGGGCAGCTCCTCTGCGCCCCCTTCAGAGGGCTTCCCCTGCTGACAGCCGGCTGCCCCTTTGGCAAGCAAGTGGGCACGCTGCTCCTCCTCCTCGCTGTCCTCCCCTGCAGCCTCTTCCTCGTCTTGGGCCCGGCCCACCTCGATCCCGGAGTCCCCCGTCAGGCGCCGGTGCCGCGCGTGGCTACTCTCTTCCCGGGCGTCGGGCCCCTCCTCCCCATCGGAGGGGCGCCGCGAGTCGCTTTCGAAGAGCTCCACGCTGGAGGAGAAGAGGGCGTGCTTGGAGGGGGCGGCCGCCAGGGGACCGCCCGGCGGGGCCGCCCGCTCCCAGCTGTCCCCCGCGGGGCGGCCGCAGCCCCCGTCGCCCTCGGCCTCCCCTTCGCTGGGGCTGCTGGCCTCGGTGGCCGAAAGGGAGGTGCTGCTGGGGGAGGTCAAGCAGCTGGACTCGCAGGAGCAGCTGGAGGAGTTCTCGGAGCTGCCGGTCAGCGTCAGGGAGCCGGAGCCCCCGAGGAGGAGGACGGCGGCGCTGTAGGGGGGTGGCGGCGTGGCGGGTCGCCGGACCACCTCATCGTAGGCCGGCAGCTTGAAGGAGGCCAGCATTCCTGCAAGGGAGGAGAGGCGCAGAGCTCAGGGCCCGGCGGGGGGGGGTGAGGACGCCCCCCCTCCGGGCGCGCAGGGCGAGCCACTCACGGAGGTCCCCCGCGGAGGGCGGCGGGGGGTTGCAGGCACCCTGGTAGGCAATGAGGTTGATCTCGCGCTGCCGCTGCTGCTGCTGCAGGCGCAACTTGGCGCGGCGATGCCGGTAGGCGCAGCAACAACTGAACAGGATCAGGACCGTCCAGAGCAGCCAGAACCCTGCGGGGAGGACGGGCGGTGAGCCGGGCGCGGGGATGATGATGATCGCCGCACGCCCGTCCTCCCCCGCCCCGCTTACACCAGAGCTCGTAGTAGTAGATGCAGCAGCCGGTCTCGCCGCAGCAGTGGCCCGTCTCGCAGACGTACGGCTGGCTCTTCACGCCGTGGCAGAGCTCGCGCGCCTGCCGGGAAGACAGCAGCGCCGTCAGTCCAGTCCAGCCCAGCCCAGCCCGCCCTCCCCCCCGCTCCCCCCGCGCCTCACCTGCCGCTCCCGGCCCAGCAGCGCCGCCGCGGCCCACCCGGACTGCGCCTCCCTGCCCGACGGAGGCGGCCGCGGCGCTTCCATGACGGCCCTACGGTCGGCCCGGGGGTCCCCCCGCCGCCCCGCACCCCTCGGCCATCCCGCCCCGCTGCCCCGCCCGCCTCCCCGCTCCCCTGGCCGTCCGGCCCGCCGCCGCCACCACTGCCATAGCTCCCGGCGCGGCTCCCGCCCTACCGCCGGCCGCCGCCAATCGGCTTCTCCCGAGGGGCCGCTCCCCAATCGGCTGCGCGGCGGCCGTGCCCGCCACCCAATCAGGGGCCGCCTTCGCCCCTAACAACAGCAGACAAAGGCGAACTGAGGGCCCGCCCCGCGGACGGCTGACCCCCTACGCCACTCAACTGGCTCCACCCTTCGGCGCCGAGGACTGGGCTGGGCCAGGAAGATTGACGCGTGCACCGACCATCCGGCTTCAAGAAGAGGAAGCCCGCCCCCCTCCCCAGCGCGGAGGGAGGGGCCCGCGCTTGCGGACCAATAGGAAGGGACGAATGCGCAGGCGGCCACGTGACGGGGCGGAGGGCCAGGCTTCCGGCTGCGGGCTCCGCTCGGGGGGCGGGGTTAAGACTATTTTGTCAGTTTCAACTTTTTTTTTCTTCTATTCATGTCCAATTCTCAGAGGCTGCCTGTCAAAAGCCTACAGTCTTCTTGACGTTTTGCAGAAATGGTTTGTAATTGCCTCCTAGGTATGAGAAAGTGATTATCCCAAGGCCTCCCAGCTGGCTTGGCACTAGAATTCACAGTCGCCCTGTTCGAGCCTGATGCCTTAGCTGCAGACCTAAACTGGTGTAGCATAGGTTTCACTTTCACAGTAAATAGAGATTCTTTGGGGGAAACGGAGGTGTAATCTCTATCCGGAATCTCTATCCCTTCCTGAACAGCCACATCTTGACATCTCTTGGAAATGGAGAAGAGGCCACTCCCACCCGTGGGCCAGGTTTACCCTGGAGTTTACCCCTCCCCAGAACACCTGCCCCACCCCCTCCATCCTCCCTTGATAGGCCAGGAGCCTCAACAGGCAACTTCTACCCAAGCAACACAGGGCATTATGGGGAGTTAGCAGTGCCTTAAATTGCTGTTGGAAACCAACTGGCAGTGGACCAGCAACATGGCATGGCAAGGCAAGTTCCTGTTGCTGCCCGAGGGATGCGTGTGTGTTCAAGAGCAAGTTACAGCAACATCACTGCAGGTGACCTGAGCTGCCCCTGTGACAGGAATGGCTGCAATCAACACACAGGAAAGCTGGAACGAAGCCTTTCTGGCCAGGGCTCCTAATTATTTTATCAGTACAAGTCACAGGGTCATAACCCTGTCCGGAGACAAAAGGGCTGTTGCAGATGCAGTATTCTGAGTAAACCTTATATGGTTTAAGTCTGAGTCCCTTTCCTCATAGACACACGCCTGCCCCTTGGCCCAGCATGCATAACCATGTGTCCTCGGCATTCAGATGACCCTCCCACCACTCCAGTGGATTGCCTCATTCTCCCCAACCTTTGGCAACAGTTCAGGGGGAGGATTAATACATGGGACACCCCAACCTTTCCTTCCCCGTAACCGTTCTTTGGCATCTTCATGGGCAACCAGAACGATACCATAGTCAACAGCACCCACAGGGCGGAGGGTGCCCTCATCCAAAGCCCCTCACAAAAGGGAAACCAGTACTTGGGTGCACAGATTCTGGCCCGTTGCAAGGATCTTGGGCTAAGGGGCTGGGCAGTACCAAGGGCAGGGGGAAAGCAGATGTCCCTGCAACAGCCGCCACCACCACTTGCCAAAATCACCCCTGAATCTTCCCAGTTTCTCCTTGGAGAACCCCGTCAGTAGGAGAAGCTGAGGAAGGAACAAGGAGGCCATCTGGGCTTCTCAAGTTAGCTTCAGGGTATCTTTAATGTTGACAATAAATCAATTTTCCTGCAGGCTACCTGACTTAGTGAAGACCTGCGAGTAACCAGACACTTTTCTCTGCATCCTGTACAAATGAAAAAGAGTAGTTCTGCTTCCATCCACCTTGGGAAGAAGCAGCCCATAGAAAGACCAGAAAAATTGCCTGTCACCATTGCCGCCGCCTCCCAAGTCCAAACACACAGCAGGGTCCTCTCCTCCCCATTGCAGCGGGTCAAGGGGAATGGAGCCCTCAACTTCCCACGCACTCCCAACGTTGCAGCAAGAGGAGCTGTCCAAGGGGCTCCCAATGGGCACAGCCAGTGACGTGCTTCTGGCTGAAGTAGCTGCTGCTGCTGTGCAGATCCCAAGGCACCTTGCCCCTCTGGCCACAGGCAGCTGGGGACAGGACTGGCCCGCTTCTTCCAGACCACAGAGGCTTCTGGGGTGCCCACCAGGTACTGACTGTCCACCAGAGCGACTATGCTGGCACCTCCTGAAGCAGCAGGTTCTTTTTGTAACAATCCAGGCTACAAAGGGGGATCCCAGTGCGGGAACAGGAGTACCGCTTTAGGTTGGGGCAGCCGATGACCCCACATGGCATGGGGGGAGGCACGACCTTCGGGAGGGAGGGCAACACAGGCAGGGAAGTCCCGGGTGGGAAGGAGACGGTGATCCCAGAAGCAGCGCTGTGGTAGCTCACGGTGGGGACTGCTGCACTTTTGGCCTTGCGCTCACGCAGCGTCTTCACTTTGGCCTTGCTGGTCTTGGTGAGGCGCTCGATGGTTTGATTCTTGTTCTCCTCGGCCTTTTTGGCAGCCTGGAGCCGCCGTTTACGAGCCCGTTCCTCCCGCTTCACCAGCATCTCCTCCGTCAGCTCTTTGGCCTTGTATCCCATGGGCAGCTCCAGCAAGGGCTGACCCTGCTGTTTGTGCAAGAGGGCTTTCTGCGGAAAGAGGAGAAGGGACGGCTGACAACACCCGTCTGGAGGCAGAGGGAGGAGGAAGGCCTCGGTGCCTTATGGCACCAGCAACAGCCAGGAGGCGCCAGGGATATTGTGCCGTCCCAACAAAGGGCCTCCCCTAAAGCCACCTTGAGACGGTAGTGGTCCTCCTTGGCTGTGCACCCTGCACCCTCACCTCTGGGCCTGATCCAGAGTGGGCAGTCCCTCTGCTCTTAGAACTGGCAACTAGGATCGTGGGGCTGAGGGCAGCGGTATAGATCGAATGTGGACAGAAGGGTCCTAAAGTTCAGAAGGAAGGAGGCTGACCTCCCACCTCCTTCTGGGTGGGCCTGGCTAGAGAAGAGCCACCTGCCTGGCTGCTAGGAGGCAGAAGGAGAACCGTAGCAGAATAAAGTAGCTGGGGACCCCCGAGAGCCTCTCTCCTTCCCCCACCTGAGCTCACGGATGCTGCCGTGGATGAAAGGTCTCTTCATTGCCCAGCGGTCTTCTTGGCTGCAGGAAATTTCTGCATTAGGCCTAGGTCCTCACCTGCCGGGCAGTGAGCAGGGACTCGTCCACCTCTTTCTTCAGTTCCCCATTGTCATCCAGCTCCCCCCTCTCCAGGGCATCCAGCCACCGCTGCTCCTCTTCTTCCTCCCGTGCCGGAAAGCCCATTTCAGGATCAAGTTCTGGCAACGGGGACGGCTCCAGGTTGCTGTCTTCATCTGCGGAGAGAGGAGGTTTCACCTCGGGTCTGACCAGGGAGGTGGAACATCTCCTTTGTTGATGCTAATTTGTATGTTGGCATTCAATTCAGAATTTGTGGGTTGGGTACAAAGAACAGGAGGAAGGTGCCAAGATGGCAGCAAAACTTTGAGAAAGCTTATTAAGAAAATAACAGCATCAGTGAGTCTTCCTCTATCAGCTGCTGTGAGCCGAGAAGCAATAACTTTCTCTGGAATTCTACTCAAAAAGGGGTTATTTTCAGCCTCTCCCCCACTTCCACCCTCAGAGTGGTTTCATTTCAGGTGTTAGCAAACAATGGCTATATAGTGTGAGGATTAAAGGTCCAGCAGGTATTGGGCACCTGCTAGGATAAAAGAGGGAAATAATTATCTGGTTGGGGTCAGACCTGGAAACTCATCTGGCCACTCACCAGAGTAAATAGGAAGAGCTGGCTTGGCTACACAACCTCTTCCAGCTGCTGAAGGCCACAGACAGCCCTAAAGGCAGGTTTTGGACACAGAAGGGACTATAAGCCCAGGCAAAGGGAGCTTCTTAAACATGTTTTCCACAATTGCTTACTGACCAGGCCTGTGACAGCCAGTCCGAAAAGGCGGAGAGAAGGGCAGAGCCCAGCAGCTCACTGAGTTGGGGGGGGGGACAAAAACTGGGTGGCTGGATGGAAAGAAGGGAGCCGAAAGCCCTCCCCCCGCGCTGCTTGCACTCCTTGGAGCTAATGCTGCTCACCCAACCACGCCCGGTACTGCTCGATGGGCACACCGCCTTCCATGGGCTCTTCCTCGTCGTCCGCCCCCGCCAGAGGGGAAAGAGACCGGGGCCTCTCCGGGATCACGCTGAAAGTCGGGACGCTGCAGGGACGAGAGCAGGCTGGGTTTCAGGCCGGCCAGGGCAGGAGCTGCAGGTCAGCTCAGCCCCGGAGGGTCCCCGGGGTGGCCAACGCGCAGCCAGCCACCCGCATCTCCTCCCCGGTCGGCTACGGCCGGATCGCCCCGCCGGCCACCGGCCAGGATGAGAACGGAGTCTCCAGCTGGCAGGGAAGAGGCGTCCGCCCCGGGCACCGCTGCCTCGGCCCTGCCCGCCCCGGGAGCCCGGCGCCCACCGACCTCTTGGTGCCCAGGATCTGGCCGCCCAGCTTGATCTTGAGCTTCAGCTGCGGCTTGGGCAGGGCGGCCGCCGGGTCCGGGCCGGGCTCCTCCCGGTGGTGCCGTTTCTTGTGCTTCTTCTTGTGCTTCTTGTGCTTCTTCTTGTGGGCGCCGTGACCGCCCGGCTCCTCCGCCACCGCCATCGCCGCCTCCGCGCCTGCCGAGAACGAGCCGCTTAGGTCCCCGCCAGGCAGCGCGCCCCCGCCCCGCCCCGCCGGGCCCCGCTTACCCCGCCGGCCGCCCTCCATCCTGCCGCCCGAGGCCTCCGCGCGCCGCCACGCCTTGCTCATCCTCCTCCGCCGCCGCCGTGAGCGCCGCCGTTCCTCTTCCGCCGGAAGTGGGCGGCCGGAAGCATCCGGAAGTTCCCTGACACACGGCTCCGCCTGCCAGGACTGAGGCCGGCGCCTTTGTTGCTCTCGGCTGTCCCGTCTCTCTTCCGCGTCCCGCCCGCCCCGCTTCAACCGCCGAGGCGGTTGGGACAGCGGCGATAATTCTGAGGGGAGCCGCGGAAGGAGAAGAAGGAGGAGGAGGAGAGTCCTCGCGGGGCAGCTCGGTCGGTTTCGCAGCTCCGGCCACTTCGAGCTGGGTTGGCCTTCAACTCCCAGAATGCCCAGCGAGATGCTGGAGTTGAAGCCCGGGCAGCCTGCAGTCGCCGGAAAACGCCGATCGAGACGGCAGCCGGCCAGGGACAAAAGCGAGCGAGCGATCGCGCAGCGTCCGCGGCTTCTGCGCGGGGGCTGCGTGCGTGCGAAGGGGCCCCGGCTCGGTCCCGAATCACCCGGAGCACCCGCAGAAGCCGGGGCGGCTCCTTCCCGTGCCCGAGAGGAGGAAAGGGGGCGGCACGCCCGGTGGGGCGGGGCGCGAGCGGAGGCGGGAGATGCCCTGGAAAGGCCCGAAGAGCCTCCGCAGGGCTGGTCCGAGGGAGGCTGCCTGGCCCTCCGGATCTCGGCGCCGGGATCCCTCCATCCCCCCCCCTACCGAATGGGGTCTGGGGACCCCGCCTCTTCGGCCGCTTCCCTCCCCGGGACCAAAGGGAGCCTGGACTCCGGGTCGCGGCTGGGCGCATCCCGGTTGGGTGGATGCCCGGCAAGGCTGGCGGCTCAGCTCGCTTCCTTATCCGGTCTAAGTATGTCGGTTCTTTAAAAACGTGAGCTGTGCAGTGGCTCCACGAGCACTTCCTGCTCTGTTTGTGTGTGTGGAGAGAGAGAGAGACGGATTTGGGCTCCTAGTCCCATAATGTGTGTATGTGTTCGTGCGTGTGTGTGTGTGTGTGTGTGTGTGTGGGCAGTTATTTTTCTTTGAGCTCTGCTCAAATAGAAAAATACTAATGGCATGTTGAATACAAAGGAGCACCAAATGTATCAAGATAAGGATTTTAGGAAGGTGATTAGCAACAATGATGCATCTTATTATATTGAAAAGGTATAGGTCTTCCCAATCAATAGATCTTAATCTTAAATATTCCGGGGCTTCAACTTTCAAAAATCTAACAGTTTATTAAAATACTAATACATTAAAATACTATTTAAGCACCTAAGCATTACATTAAAGCAAGCATTTTTTAGATCCGGCATTTTATTCAGTTAGTTGAATTACTGTTTGATTCTTAATGTAAAGTATTTTGACTATTTTTCTACTTGAAGTTGTCTTACTGCACATGTTTTATCATCTTATAGAAACTCTTTTTGTATTTTGATATTGTAGGAATGTTTTATTGGTCAATGACTGCCATAAAGGTGTTCACTCACTCACTCACTCACTCATTCACACTGTGGTAGGGTTTGAGTAGACAGATTGTGGCACTCCATGGCCAGAATCTTGACAGTCTTGACCACTGCCAAGACAAGCATGCACAAAGGGCCACCAGAACCGTCTCTTGCTTGCATGGTTACAAAAATGTCTGGGCAGGGCAAATTCTAGAAAGACCAGTCTGGATAGAGGAGGAAACATGGGAAAGAGATGGACAATCTGTTTTTACAATCTGTTTTTACTTCAGTGTTTACTTGTAACACGCCCTGATGTAAAAGAGAAAGCCCCAGAGTCATGTCCCTGCCAAGTGGAAATGCATGTTAAAACAAGCAGAGTTCCAACTTCCTGAAGACTCTGCTTTGTGCTCCGAAGCACTCCCCGTTCCCCAGTTGGTGAAGCCACCAGCTGGATCATCTGAGCCTGACATCCTAGAATACAAAGCAGATATATTATGAACCACACAATGGATCAACGTGGTGCAGAAGGGCATAAGCAGAGGAAGGGGCAGTGGGGGCGAAAGGGCCTGGATCAGGATTCTTGGCCAAGAGAGGTCTGAGCCGGGGCAGCCGTCCTTGCGGACAGTCACAGGAATCAATCAGTTTTAAAAGGAGGCGGTGCCTTCTGCTGCTCTGACAAAGGCCTGGTATTTTGCTCCTGTGCTGGGCAACCTCTCTTGGTGAGAGGCATTCTCTGGCTGGCATTCTGCCCTTTTTGATCTGAGCCACAAAGGCAGCACTCTTGTGAGATAAAGAAGTACTGGCATTGCTCCAGAGTTGATCTGGGGAGGCTGAAAAGTAATAGGCACCCTCACAAAATGGCTGCCCCGTCAACAAAGCTTCCTTAAAGGAGCAAGGTGGTCTCGGGTCCTGGGAGGACTTCTTCACCCTCAGCTGACTGCTCTCTCTCTGGCCTGGGAAAATGTGCCCCTTCTGCTGGGGGGAGGGGAAATGCCAGTCGCAGGATGGTTCCGAGAAACAAGGGTTCTGCTTCAGGCTGGCCTTTGCTTCTGGAATGGAGCGGAATCCAAAAGAATCTCATTTGAAAAATCAGATTGGGTGCAGCTTTGAAGCCGCCCTGGAGACCTCAGCTTTGGCCATCGCAGCTCCATTTTCTCCACCAGAGACGGACCCACACGCACACCACTCAGGCTGCAGCACTGGACAGGTTCCCCACCCCACCCCTGAGAAGAATTAAGCTGCTCCTGGCTGGGAGGAAACCACCCAGAAAGCAGCACCCTTTTTCCTCATTGCTCCCCTCTGGTGTGAGGCAGCCAGGATCAAGTTGTGGCAGGCGTTCCCCACCCAGCCCTTGGCCTAACTGTTTCCCAACTGGAGGGAAGGTGCAGCCACGTTCCTTGTACCTCCCAGAGTGTTGTGGGGGAGGCCAGCCCTTCCCTCCCAGGTGCTTCCATTCCTTGCCTGACATCTGGGAAGGCCTGGCAGGGTTTTGGGGGGAAGGGAGGTTCCCCCTTTGAAGGACTTGCCCAGCAGGATTAACCGCATTTCTGGGTCTGGGCAGTACATTAAACCGTTAAGGCCACATTAAACAGTCTGGCAGACTGTTCATGCTTCACACCAGGTGGGTAGAGGAGGGTTGGAAAAGTCTGTGGCTGGGTGAACAAAGGAGGGAGGGCTGATCCAGAACTCCACGCAGCCTTGCTGGATCCCTTCCCTGCTACTTTTTTCGTCTACTTTTGCTTCTGTTTTCAGTCCCTCTTAAGCCAACAGGCAGCCCTGTTTCTCAAGCATATTTATTCTGTTGCAGCCAAGTTGGCATTTTAAAAAATCTGGAAGACCTTCAGAAATAAGGCAGGATCCACAGCCTGCCACCTGGTGCCCTCGTCTTTGTTGGGGAGATGGCTCAAGCGCTTGGGGCAATCAGCCAGTCGGCCCCTCCCTCAAGGCCAAAGAAATCAGCTGCAACTCCTCCCCAGGCTGGCCTTGCAAGGAAGGTCAAAAGACGGGGGCCCAGAGCAGGCCAGCCTCTGCCTGCCATTTGTCAGCTGTCCGCCACAGCTCACTCATTCACATACACACCCACCAGCTGCAAGTCGTTTCTGGGCAGGCGGCCCGATCCTTCTCTTGCAGGCACCGCGCTCCCCCCCCCACGCACTTTGGGAGGGCCTGAAGGGGCAGCGAGCGGCCGCTGTGCTCCCAACACGCGTAACCTGCCTATCCTTTCCTTGCTCCAGCCAAGCGGTGAAGCAGAAACTTCCAACCGGCCGGGGTCGCAGGCGGTGCGAACTCAGCCACGCAGTTCCGAGGAGGAGCCCGTGGCCGCAGCCGCCCTCAGGCCCTCCTCCCGGCAGCGGCCGAGCCCTCCTCCGCGGGGAGTCCCGCTCCGGGGCCCGAGCGGAGGGAGCGGGGCGCGCTCGGCCGGTCCGGCCAGCCGCTCAGTTCCTGCGGGCCGGGCGCGCGGGTGGGCGGCGCCGCCTCCCGGGGCGAGGCGGGCAGGAGCCGCGACCCCGCCCAGGTGGGCGGCGGGCGCATCCCAGACGGGTCGGGGAGGCGGGCGAAGAGCCGCCCCCAGGCAAAGTTCTCTGCGGAGGCCGGACCGACCGCCGACGGTTCCTGCGGCTCCGGTCGGCGCCAGCAGCGCCCGCGGCCGGGCCATGTTCCAGGGCAGCACCGCAGCCGGGTGACGGTGGCGCGCGGCTCCGCGCTGGAGATGGAGATCCGGCGGGGCCGCTTCCGCCTCAGCCTCCTGGGCGAGCCCGAGCAGGTAGGAGGGCGGCGGCGCGGAAGGATTGGGCCGGCCTGGCCGGGAGACGCGGCGCGCTTAAGCCGTGCGCGGGACCTGCGCGGGGGGAAGCCCTGAGCGGCTTTGCCCGGGGCGGCAGCGGCAGGGCCGGGGAGGAGCCGGCAGAGGCTGCCCGCCCGGACCCACCTGGGGGCTCCAGGGGGCGCACCGGGAAGCGCGGTGGGCTCCGGGCGCTCCCACCTCTCCCTTTTGGAAAGGGAGCCCCGCGCCGCGTCCTGCCGAGTGTGGCGGCTTTGCCGCGCCTTTTTAAATCAGCATCGTCAGCTGAGCGCCACCCAGACCCGCGTGTCAGAGTGGGGGTCTCTGGGTGGAATCTGAGGCCCCTTGCAGCCCAGGCCTCCGAGGGGTCCAGCCGCCTTCAGTCCCGGCGCGGGGACTTTTGGTGGAGGGCAGGGACTTGTTGCGTGTAGACTGTAATGGGCAGACCCGACGACTCTCAGCGTATCTGGAAGGAAGGTGACCAGGTCTTGTGTAGTGACCCCCCCCCCCCGCCACCACATCTGGCAGACCCAACCTGCCTCTGGCTCCCAGGGGAGCAGAGCCACGGGGACTCTTGGCAGAGGGCCAAGGAGCTGTGGGGGGGGGGTGCAGAAAGAATTGCTGCCTTTCCAGTTCTGGAGTTGGGGGGCCTGGAACAGGTGCAGCTAACACTCCCCCCGGGTGGCTGCTGAGGTTCCTAGGCCTTTGGGGCTCACTGACCAGCAACAGGGGAAGTCATGAGGTGGCTTTGTGGGTCCCACTGGCCTGGCCTGGCCCTCTTGGTTTTCCTTGTGCCCTTTTTTACTTCCTTGCAGAATGCTGCCAGAATAGTTCCCCCAAACTTGAAGGCCCAAAGAAGCAGATTACATTGTGGTAAAACTTTGAAACCATTTTCAAAGAATCCTAGTGAGTGAGTGAGTGAGTGAGTGAGGTGTATTAAATGTGAGATTTATTTGTAGTCGTGTTCAAGTTTCTTGTACTTTTTCTCGCCTGTTGTCATCAAAGGCTAAAGCAGCTCCCTTTGGAAGCCTTTGCTGGACACGTTTAGTAGCAGGTTGTTCACCCCTGACTGTGGGAAAACATCTACACAAACTTCCCTGATCAAGACTCCCGTCTTCTATAGAGTTAGTACATTTTTAAAAATTTGGATGCCAGGCCAAACCCCTTTCTCACCTGCCTGAATGATGGTTTCCTCCAAATGGGAGGGGGGGCAGGCTATGAGACCTTCAGTGGCCAACACGGCACCGTCTATTTTGCAGGATTAACGTAACCCAGGATGGGAGCAGAGCGACTGGGAAATTAACTGAGGGTTTGCTGGGAGTATCCAAAATGTTTAGCCACAGCTCAACCGCTGCCTTGGGCTCCTGGCTACACAGATGAAGAAGGACATGCTGTAGTCCAGTGTGAGGCACTGGGCCAGCGTGCAGCTCTTTGCAGCTGTTGGTCTCTTGGTTTGTCCCATTGGGTTTGTTGCTCTTGGGCAGAACATCACCATGGAGGCAGACTGGAGGGCTGCAGAATGATCCCAGGCAAGCCTAGCCTTATCTGGCAGTACCTATGGGGCTTGGATAAAAGGGGGCAGGGTCTCGATGTTGTAGGAACCAACTATGTTCACTTCTTGAGGCCCAGAATTGGTCAGGCAGGTTCCTTGTAGATTAGCAGCTAAGGAAGCCAGCAAGCCCAGTTGGGACCGGTTGGTAGAATGC